CTAAATATAAATAAGTTTCTTTGTGTATTATTGTTACGTTTAATGGTATTCATTTATTTCGTTTATTTGCTAAAGTAAAAAATAAATAAATAAAGACAGATAATCGATACTTAGAAAAAAAAAAGGTCATTTACATAAGCAAATATCATTTTTTTTTAAAAATATAAATTGAATTCTTATAATGGTTTGTGTGTATAAAAACATGTTTCTCTGTGGGTATGTATATATGTGTGCACGTCTTTGTGGAAACGTGATTTTTAGATAAACATGAACTTTGAAGATAAAATCATACATTGTATAATTGACGAGAAAAATATTTATTTGGATTTTTAAAAAGAATAATGTTGACGAAAAACATGATTTTACAATAAAACAATAACAATTTGTTTACATAAAAATTGTTTCAAACTAATTTGATAACAAGTGTTGAAAAAGTTACATATGATAAATGTAAAATGGGTATTTCATCGGTATTTCATCGATATTTTATTACAACGCCTGTAGTCAATTTAATATGAACTGAGTTCAGCTCAAAATTTGTTCATTACACACCTATTAATTAGAGCACTGAGAAGTCAGAGAAATGATGGAATGTAATTCATAATAATAACTAACGGGATTCTGTTTTGAAATACTAGGCCAAAGACTATCAGATAATATTGAGCATCTATGACCCCACAAATAATCAAAACTAAAACCTAAAAGCCTCACAATGAGAGCTTTATAGTTAAACCATTAAGTTGACTCCTGATGATACCGGTTTATAGCTACAGTTAGTTCGTGATATTGTTCTGGGATCATTACCTGATATGTATCGCACATTAGTTAGATTCCATCAGCCACAAGTTGTCACTAGAACTTCAGGATTGATTCTTTAACTTAGTTACTCTAACATTGGTGGAAATTTCAAACGATTATCTGTCTGTAATATGTCCGTGATGTACAATACAAATTCACCTATTTTATATGTAGTCATCTACTCATTAAACAATTATCTCGTTAGAAGCTGTGATGAGTGGAGTTAAACCATATCGTGTTTGAGTCAGTTACCCACCAATGAGATTAGAAGATAGTTGGGCGATATGGGGAGTTGATTGAAGTTAAGCAATGCACACCATTGAGTACATGTCGAGTTATCTAATGGTTAGGCCCTCGCATATCTAACTAAAGGTCCCGTGTTCGAACCTTGGTTTGGCCTTGGATGCACACTGCTGAGGAGTTCCACAGTGGGACGAAACAGCTTTCCAATATTCCCTTGTTTTCAATGGTTATCTAGCTAGAATAAGTTTGTGATGTAAATTATGAAAATTCTACAATCCCGACAAAACCCTTATACTGATAGTAATGTCGAACAAAAATAAACAGAAGTTCGATAAAAAAATACTTGTAATTTGCGTTTAACTCATGCTATAGATTAATCTCCATTAGTAACAATCCTTATCAATCAAGTCCACTATATACCATTCACCATTTTACTAAAATCTTTAGGATATTGATTAATACATTATCATGTGTATGAGCAGGGATACTACTCAAATGGCTAAATTGAAGAAAGTAGTTTATTTAATATAGAGCTCTGATAGTTTTCTACCTAAGGTAGTAGAGGAAATTCAGGTAGCTCGTGACTAAATTATTTCTACATGTCATCCGGTCCCTTAAGCTCATTTACACTTTTACCTTGGGATAACGAATTGCCAAATTCATTAGATGGATCTGCTGAAACAACCAATCTAGTTTACAACAAATGTATTTCTTGTTATGGCCCAATGAATAGAAAAATTGCATTTCTGACGCTTCGTGACTTAATGTAAGCCAATTCTTCAAAGTGGACTAATAGCCGAATTAAATTAACGCAAGTTCAAATAGTACAAAAGAAACAATGCAGAATATTTTTAGTACAATCAAAATAATATTTTTCATTGTTTCCCTTGTACTATTTTAACTTTCGTTAATTTACATCGGCTATTTATTCACTCTGAAGAAGTGGCTTACATTAAGTCATGAAACGTCAGAAATACAATTTTTTTACTCATTGGGACATTTAAAAAAATATATTTATTATTAGCTATCTACCCAATGCTCAATTTATTTGAAACTGTCTAGTCCAATCTTGGCATTTATACCTACAATCTAGTTTATATCCTGGTCATCCCTTTTTATCCTCTTACTTTTGCGAAGCACCCTTACCATTTGGATTTAGTGGGTAAGATTTCACTGATAGAGGCAGTAGACTTGTGGCTATATGAAACCATTTCGAGGACATTTCTCATCCTCGTCCTTACTAGGGCGCTTAGGGGCAAGTACAAATATATACCTCACGTACTGATATACTTCGTCATTAATTTATTCAAGGTACTAGGTAAACTGATTTCAAGTTTTTCAAATAGAACTGATTTTTGTCGAATTTTCAAACATTTGTTTGGTGTTAAGAATCAAGTATTTTCTCCATACAACTAACCCAAACTATTCAACGGATATTTTGATTTTGTTTCAGTAAGTTAGTTCTATGAAGAATTACTAAGACAATTTATTTTTCTGCTCGTAGAAATCTGAATTTGAACATAGAGAACTGAGTAAATCTGACCTGTGATCTTATCGTAAAAAGGTCATTTGCGTTATATACGTGTTTGTTAAATGGTTACCTAGATTAAAAAGGTCAAGTGAATGACCTTTTCAGAAATAAATAATTTCCAAACGAGTTGTAATTAATTAAAATTTTTATAAATAAGTATTTAGTGATGTGGAAATTTAAAATAACGGAGAAAATGTTCAAAATGATGTAGAAGTATTTTATAATCTTAAATTTTGCCCTGTTCAAAATGTTATTCAAACCCTACCGATCATCCAACACAATATGACATTATTAATGCAAGTGGTTTGAGAAGGTTGTTGGATTTTGTGGTTCACATTACTAACTACTTTAGTTAGCTGACGGCTGAAGGCCAGAAAGTACTGAACAAACTATTTTATCCTCATACAGAGTCATAAACAATGCACATCCACGACCACACATTCGATCGAACACCTGACCTTCAGGCTGACATTTAACATCTAAACCACTCAGTAAGGATTATGATGTTTACAGTTTTAATGCAAATCAATTCGCACTATCTTTTAGCCAGCAATCAATGTCATAAGTGGGTAGCTGCCTCAGATACGACATGGTCTGGCTTCACCGACCACTGATTCTCACTAGAAATCCTGGAATTTTCTTTAGGCACTAGTGAGTACATGATTATTATTAACATAAAGAGTTTGTGAAGGTTTTTATAGTTTATAGTTTGCATTACAAACTGATTTTATTCTAACGACCACTGACAACTATTATGATGTCATCTATTTCCAATTATAGTATCAAAAATCGATTCTGGAGTTTTCATTCTGTAGGAACTCGTTAACGTAGTTTATCCATAAATATGAAGAAGTTGTGTCCACGTTCACATCAACAGTACACTACAGTTTTATCTATTTCTATGAATTTAATAAGATTGGAAAATGTTTTTAAAATGTATCACACTTAAGGAGTTGATTTAGATCAATGTTCACAAACTTGTACGACCACCTTTTATTATTGAATGCCTATCACATGTTTCTAATTATCAGCAATAATAATATGTGGAAGAGATTGATGTTATGACGGTAATAATGAAAGTGATGTTATTGTCCATAAGAATGGTGAGAGTTTTATGAAAAACGTAGCTAGTTTTAAGAATATGATACTATGGTAAATGTTCCTACCCGATGACATATTCCCAGCATCCATGTACTACAGAGTATCTTAAATATTAATTCAGAAGTACATCTTTTTGTTATAACAAGCAGTATGTGGGTGATTATTGACTAAATTATGAAGTCAATTTTGTGATTCTATCATCTTCAATCTGTTAGGCTAAGACTATATTTGAAAACCTAGATTACGACATCTTATCATCTGATATTTCTACAAACTATGCGGTATGGTTAATATTCCCACCACCAATTTTACCCAGCATTCAAACCTTTTAACGGGTTGGATACGTATTTACTTATTCAATTATAGTTGAGTTTATTTTTTTAATATTTTTTTGTTGTTGTTGTTGAAGGGGAATCAGTAAGAAGACACATTGTCCTCATGAGAATCCAATAAGAGTTGATAAGCTAAACAATTCGTAGAAAATTTCTGATTTTCTACGTTTATTAACAATTTCTCTATCATTGGTAAATACAACTAATTTTATGATTGGTTTAAATGATTGACCTTGTCCAATTACATGAGTGATTCATTAACTGTTGGTTAAATTAGAAAATAGACAGAATTTAATAACATTGTGATGGGCTGATAGACAAATGGTTGAAAGTTCATTATCTTAACGAAGAAAAGACAGTGGAAATAAACGAATTATAAAATACGTAGACTAACCATTCTTTATTTGATTAATATTTAACTGCTTATTGAGAAATCATTGAATATTACTTCTTTATGAATAAATTATGTATTAACAATGATTTATCAATTATTTATTGATCAATCAATATGTATATATATATATATATATATATATATATATATATATATATATATATATATATAAATATTCTAATATTGAGCTGTTTCAACTATAGAGAATCAGTTTACCGACATGGATTTGTAAATTGTTGAGGGTTTACTATTAACCGAACTGGATTAATTTATCTATTTTAATTTTATTTATAATTCGTCCCTCAATCTGGAATTATTTATCAAACTAGAGATAAATCTAACAATCCTCTATAATAATGTTACCAAAGAAAAAGCGTTGGATGGCGGCTGCACATACTTCCTCCACAAATCTAATTTCCTCTCCTTCTACAGTGACTACCATTTCAAATATTGGTTCAAAAAAGCTGTGCTGTGATACACCTATGCAAACAGTTGGGTCAGTTTCTAGATCACTACCAAATTCAGTAGCTTCTACTCACTTCCGGTTAGATCCTTAGCAACTGGGAATTTACTATCCACTGGAGATCCATATAGTTTGTCTATGCTCCAACAACAATCTCTCACAAATCGGTCAATATCTAATATGACTACCGAGTATTTACACAGTGATCATAAATCACAACTAGTGACATCTAGACAATCTAGTCATCCTGTTAAGTCTGCTTTACCTGGACGTCGAAATGATGTGAATTCAAACTTGATGACAACAATTTCTCACTATCCTACGGAACTATTGCAACAACAGCAACAACAACAACCTGGATTACTTCTTCAGGTATTGCCACAGGAATATCTAGCAAATTATGCTCAGAATTTGGCTAAGCTTAATGTCATAAAAATTCTGGAGATTTAGTGCATCTTCCTTCTAATGACTGTTCTATGGATCTAAAATAAGCAAGATGGACACATTATCTTCTGTACAGAATACTGGATATTCCCAAGGTTTATTACATCAACCTGATACTCAGGGACGTCAGACCCATATATCTACTCATAATAATTCACCAAATCTACCACTCAGGATAAAAAGCCCAGATAGTTCGAAGACTCAGAGGACATCTCAGTCACTTAGGTCTAGTCCTATGCTTAATTCACCTGTGTTCCAATATCCAGCTCCTAACAACTCACAGAGATTTTCTCCTCCTCCACACCCACCTCCTAGACGTTTAAGTGGTTCTAGCGAACAAACAAGACATAATAAACCTTTGACACAAAGCCATCAATTGCCGAGTGGATTTGATTTACCAACAATATCTGCTGTAGCTAGAGCAGCCAGTATGTTATCCCCTTCTCAACTTGAAGCTGCAGCTGTATTACTTTCCCAGTGGGATAATGTTAACCAATTAGCATTATTAGCTAATAATTCCTCGTATAGAAATATATGCAACATTGTTGATTCTTCTGGTAATAAACAACCGGTCAGTTCAAGTCATAGTTTTTCTCCACCGGTTTCTTCTGAACCAAATCCTGTTACTAGTGGTGGTTACATTGAGAATCATGTCCACATCACAAATAGAAACGGGTAAGTTATTTTTCTTTTCATGAATGAATGATTATTAATATATTTGTACATCACAATTTGCGTTTTTATCTGTTTTTGTTAAGTAATTTTAGTCATTCAGTTATTTTTAAAATATTATCTTTAGATAGTTCAAGTCCTTACAATATTATTTCATGAAAATCATTAACTTACAAACTGTACAATGTAATAAGATGTAAGCTTGATTGTTAAGAGTTATGATGGTTAGGAGACACCATTGTTCAGAAAGCTGGAATGTTTGAGTTAAAATCACACGATGTTGTTAATGCACCTATTCCCTGACAATATTTAAAAAAAAGTATTTTGATTAATTGATATCCACTTGCTCTCTGTTTAGTGACGTTGATTTTTATACATTCAGTTTTTTCATATTTTGTTTTACTGGTTTGTCAAGATACAAAACAATTTCAAATGGTTCTGTTATTTTCGTTTCTAGTTTTATAGAACTAATCATTTAGAGTTAGTCATAGGTAATGATTAATCGTTACGACAACATTTATTGGTAGTGTTCTTTTGCTTTGCTTTCTGTATTTTGGTGCATTATACATGCTTGACTTTTCATGAATGTATTCTACTAATGACAGAAATTTTTGGACAATAATCGAAATCAACCATCTGCATATCAGTTAATCATTAATAACATAGAGTCTGTCACATATGTGCACCGATTCAAGTTACCATATATCAGCACGACGAGATCAAATTAACACGATGATATAGGCAAACAGCAGTCAATTCTAATAACGTTACGTTCTCTGAAATGGATTATTTTTTTTTAAAATGTGTTGTTTATGATAATGATGATGATAAAAACAAAACTTTAAAATTAGATCGTTCAACTTCATGAACGCATTATCACAAAAAGATTTTTCTTTATTAACATATCTGTCTTCTACATATTGATGGATAATTCTAATAGTAATTTCGACTCTTTTTACGTTCTTTATATTGTTTACAAGTCAAGACTTTAACCATAAGCATTTGGTGTTATTTTTCATCCAGGTCTTACATTGCTTCCCTTTGTCTTAAGACTATTTAATTACTCCGGTTAAGATGTATCAAATTAGACTGGTCTATCGTTGGTGAAAATCTTAACACGCCTAGTGAGAATTTTTCACTATTTTATCAACACACCTCACTAAAATCTAAATGCCGGTAAAATAATAAGCATACTGTGTAGTAGTAGTAGTCTTCGTGCTAGTTTATAACTTTCAGATATAGTTATTAGGAGTGGGAAGTATATGTAGATTATTAGCATTCGGTCATGGATAAGTCTATGGAGTCTGTTTTTGTTTTTGCATATATGCCCTTAGGAACAGTCTGTCATTCCCTGAATATTCTCGAGAAAATTTCTAATATCTTCTTTACTTCAGCTTCAGTGTTACCACTGCATATGAAGTAAACATTCAAACGTATATACCTTTGATGTTTATTAATAATAACAATAAATAATGTTGATAGTGAAGATTAAAGCATCTAAGTTTAAATATCTACGTCACATTTTATGATAACATTAATGCTGAAGTAGTGAAGACATACATTTGAAATTTTTCTTCAAGAATGTTCATGAAAGAACTAACTATTCCTAAGGTTAAACGTGTATAAACGAACAGAGATTGTCTCGGTGTTTATTTTCTTACAAACGTTACTATACTTAATTGATATGCTCAAAATTGGTATTTTTTCAATATTTAATCGTTTTTCGATAATTTTCAGGTGGCACACTTCATTATCTATTCATCGATATTCGTTGTTTATTGCGGTTACCATGTACAAATGAGTGTGCTTCGGTCCTAGCCACACCATGAGTATGACGATTAGTGATACTACCCGCTTGTCCTAAATGAATTTAGTGAGGAGGGATGTCAGCCCTCAGCTTAATGACTGAAAGTAGAACACAATCACTGAGCTACTACTTTACTGGATGAGTCAACTGTTTTATAATAATAATAGATTAATGATAATAGTAATAATAATTATTATTATTACTATTATCCATAAATTAATTGAAACATTTCAATGAATCCATGTTATTTGTTGTCGAAAAATTCAATTATTGTTCCGTTGTACTATTTAAACTTGGACTGATTTAAATTTGGTTATTTATTCTCTGGAGAAGTGGTTTACACTAAGTCACGAAACGTCAGAAAATCTCATTTTTCTACTCATTGGGATATTACAAATATATTAATTTATTTATGGATTAAAACGTTTAATTAAGAAGTGTCATCAGTTGTATCAATGAAATTGAAATAAAACTTTGTCCTTTTAGATGTAAGACTTATTCAGTTGTCAGTGATATGTCTTACTATGTTGTTGTGCAGTTATCTGTTTCAATCGATCATTTTGTCTCACATACGGTTGATAATTTTGAATAAAAATTTTCTACAATGTATTTCAGTAACACAATTCACTTTTTATTTAAACACTCAATTTTTTACTTCATATTAAAATAATCGTCATTCATTAACATTTATTGTCTACAAATATACATAATATGTAGTTGTTGTTTGAGTAAACTATGGAATAGTGCAAACCAGTAGAGTTCCAAATTGGAGTTAATATTACTACTTTGAAGTTATAGATTAGTGTCTATAAAGTATACGAACTGACTAATCAATAATCAGTGATAACGGTTTCCAATTTAATAATAAGATATTAAATGTTCTTCCAAAGTACTTGATAGTATATACCGATTATCTTTGGATTGTAAATTATTATGCAAGGTTTATACATATTCATAATGTGCATATGGCTGTACTATGCTTATACATAGACAAGATACCCTCATAGATGGTCATATCCATACTCAATTCAAATCATTTACCAGGTACATATTTGTGTATTTAGCTTCGAGTCACACTATATGAGATCTAGTATACTACCCGGTCGACCTATCAGAAGAAAGTAGGGTGGGGTTTTCATTCACAAGTTACTGGCTGATGGTCAAACTCATTAGCCATCACTCCACACCCTCCATACTTACTGAAACCTTGGTTAATGTTTCGATGTCACTTAACGGTTCACTAACTTTTATCACTATTAATCATATTTGTCTAAATGAAAAGGTAGAACGTGGAGAAGCATTGAAATCTGTGCTATGTAATTGATGAAATGAAAAAGTACATAAAGGATTGATATACTATTCGACGTATCTACGATGCGCTCATTTTTTCTGTTTTTATAGATATTACGAAGTAAATAAATAGTAAGCAACTCAAATCCTCATAACATCATTACCTACTGAAGTGGTCAGACTGATTGTTAAAATAAGTTAATTGATGAAAAACACAAACAGTTCTATTGATAGAATTATGATAATCAAAATAAATTCCTTTAGGTGCTAGATAATCTGAGAAAAATTTTTGTTCCTTTGTCACGCATGATCCATTTTCATTTTCTTTAAAACTATTTTTTTCAATTATGGGGATTCATGAATAGTGTTGAATCCCGTAGTTTATACGACGGACTGATTTTAGTTAGACGACCATTAAAAAAACAGGAGGCAGTGGAGAGCAGTTTCGTCCTTGTATGGCATTCCTCAGTGGTGTGCATCTGTGACCCCAGTGCGGTCGAACCGATGAATTCCCCGGATCACGGAAAGGAATTGACGTTTGATCTTTTAATATTTAATCATCAATCAGGCAAAAAAGGGACATTTCATTCCTTTTAGTATGGAAAGCTGGTCTCCATTTTATTTTGACTCTTCATATATGTATGAGGCGTGGTTCTTAGCCTAGCAAGTGAATATTTACATGGTTACTAGATTTCATTTGTTTAGTTCATTTTTCTATAAAAAAGCATTTTCTCGTTTTTCCGTCGTTTGTCCTATATTTATGTTAACATATATCTGATCTATGTTTCTTTCTTAAAAGTTGGGTAAATAGTGCTTTTTATTATGGGAGTTGTGGATTGTGGGATTCGACCAATCATTGCATGGTTACTAGCGTTTTTGACTTCCAGAGTTCTAGTGTAAAGCCCTGACGATTGGAATTTATTAGTGTCGAATGAGATGTTACCAATGACTACGGACAATAGTCGCGCAATATCATGAGCTGATTGAAGTTGGAAATGTAAAAAGTTTGGTTCCAACTTACTGGTCCGAAAGTTATGCGATCATTGTGAAACATGAAGGGCATTTGTTCGAACGCTGGTGGTGTAGTGAGTGCACACCAGTGAGAAACTCCTTGCTAGGACGAAAAAGTTGTCTAATACTTCCTGATTTTCAATAAGTGTTTAACTAAAATAAGTTTGTGATGTTAAACTATGAATGGTGGTTTATTTTTTTTCTAAATATTTTTTGAAGACGTATTCAATGAATAATAACAAAACAAAATTAGTGACATATTGAATAAAGTCTAGGTATTTTAATTTTGTAGTCAAGTGGATAACGCTATAGAGTTCAAGACAGTGTGTTTCATTTGGGATACCATCATACTCATCATAATGCGAATAGATTCAGATGATGAGACCACAACATAGCCAAACCTTTTTTTTTAAATTGTATTATTTAAAATAGCCAAATGCTATCGATTTGGAAAAAAGAAATCGGTTTTATTAAGTACGCTTGATCTAAATAGAGATTCTTGTTGTGTCTAGGTATACAGGTATGATGAACTAATTTTATATAATGTCATTCATTTACGCAGTACAGATTTACATACTCATTTTTGACCAGAAAACTTTGTATGTAGGCTGTTCAAGTCGAATTAAGTAGGGAGTGACTTGAGCCTGCAACTTATTGGTTTTACTCAAATATTCTGGTCAATAAACCACCTATTTGTCCATTCTGTGTAAATAATACATGAAACTTATAAGCGAGGTAGAATTTTTTCACTAGTTCATTTTATTCAAAGATAAGGAATAAACTTGAACTCTTGATATTATAAATGAGAATCTAGTATCGTTAATGAATTTAAGGATAACCGAATAATTGAGCATAATAAATTCAATCTCTGTTGATCTTACTTCTATTTTAAAGAGTATACTTCTTAGCTAGACGTTATTTAGAATATAGTAAAATAAAGAATTTACATTCACTCTATATTTCTGTCTAAATTTTCAGTTTTGTTTCTTTTATTATAAACTGTCTGTTGTTGGTATATTCTGTGTGTCCTTTTCTGAAGTTTTATTTTCATTATTTATACATTTGTTGATTAATTATTTTTTTACTATAAAGTATGGGAACTAGACTTGAAACTTTGTCATATGGAGATAGTTCTAAGTGTTGTCTATCATTAGTACGTATATTTATTGGATATACACATACCGGTTTATTTGATTTATGAACATGAGTGAACAGAGTTCATAAATGTAGACAATTTGTAAAAATTTCTATTGAGGAATGTAAATGAAAACATGTTTTTCTGCATTTAAATTAGATAATCATCGTATACTTGGTAAAGTAGAATTCATTTATCAAGAGTACAGACTTATGTGTACTAGGATTCGAGTTACACTTTCTTGTGTGTATGCGTACGCGCATATGTGTGCGATGATGACTACTGATATTATCCAGTTGTCTTAGCTAAATTAGATCGAACGGGGAACTGTGAACTTGATACTTAGTGTTTGAATGTCGAGTTGTATAATTAAACGAACAGATCGGTACTAATATATATATATATATATATATATATATATATATATATATATATATATATATATATATATATAATTATGCAAATATTGTCATGCCACGTGATCTCTCTTCTATGCGCATATTTATAAGTATGCAGTAGTGGAGCGACTATAAAGTATTTATTATGTCTATTAACTAGTTCAAAATAATATTCATTACCGTACTAAACAAGAAAAGGAATGAAAACGAGAGACAAATTAGTTTATATATATATATATATATATATATATATATATATATATATATATATATATATATATATATATATATTTAAATCTTCCTCTAAAAAAATGTGAGATGTTTTTGTGATTTATTGGATACGGTTTGTTTGTGATAGTTATTGATCAGATATAGACTTGATATATTTACTTATTTGTTAGCAAGTGTTTAAATAGAACTCATCCGGAAAAAACTTAAACTGAATTTTTCACACTGTCGACAAGTCGTATTCATTCATTTATTCCATTTATCAATGATGATACCATTAAAACTGTTTGTTTAAGAAGAATGATGTCTCTGACTAAGTATATAGACAGTACGTATTCTGATTTCACAGAGTAGATGGATTGTACTTAGGACTGGAATTCATGATTCACATTTCATCCAATTTAAAACTTATCAGCCAGATTAAATTACATTTTAATGTGAATGTTCTCATCTGGGTAGTAAATAAGTATTTTGTTCAACGGGCATAATGTTTATATCGTTATTAGTAAGGATTTGATTACGGAAATATTATTAGTATTTTTATTGTTATTACTGTTATTATTCAGATTAGTAGTATTACGAGAGCACTCCGTGTATTACAAATCGTTAATATTTTAAAAATTAATCCACACAACTATTTTTTTCGATTTTTGTTTACAAATTAATTAATAACATGTAGATTTACATTATTTAGATTACTTATTAAAATGACCTGCATTTAAGTTATGGTTTGAATATGTATTAGTCTTCTCCATATATAAAACAGCTTCATAATATGATCGTATTATATAAAAAATTCTGCCCTGTTAATAAATTGGTTAGTTTATTAGCTTAGTTAAATGTATCTTGGAGTAATTAGACTCAAGGAGGTGACATATTGGAATAATGTTAAACTCTCTACTATTCTTTATCTTCTATGTTTGAGCTTGTTTTCCATATCTTGGATTGATTGATGTTATCTTTTAAAAATTTCATTTTTGAGAGAATGGATTTTCTACCCAGTGTTGTAGTGAGAGAATTCGCTAGTGAGCTATTCAAGAGTGTAATTCATGTTTGAAGACTGTCACTATTCATACACTATTCATTCGTTAAAGTAATAACCATTGTGCTGTATTGTCTAGTTCTTTGTTCTGATTGGGTACTTCTGGTCAACTTTGAGGATAACAATGAATTATAATTCTTTTATTGATCTTCGGGATAATTAAATTATGGTCTACAACTGTTATTATAGCATGAAATCCATCTCATCTATCTATTGGGCCAGGAGAAAATATTTCAGGTGATTCTTTAACTACAGGATAAGTTTAGAATTAGCTCTATCCTTCTTTTAGATACGAAAGACGTCTCTCAAAATATCCGTAAATTAGTTTACCTATATACATATAACTGTTGCTAGTGGGTTATTTATCAGGGATTCACGTTAAAGTTAAACAATGGAATATAACAACTATTCATGTAATCGAAGAAATAAATAATTAATATTAGTTGTTTATATTCATGACAGTTATCAACTTCCACATTTCACCTGTAATTTCCCTGTTGCATTTAGGTAGTAAAAGTAAGTTCCATTGTTTATTGTACTGGTAGAGGCTTTTAAATGGTGTCACTAAATTAAATTATAATTTGTATTTTCTTGATTTTTACTTCATTGCCCCCACCCTACTTTCATCCCAAGGACTGGAACCGATTGTAAATCACGAAGAGTTAATGATTTGTCATTGACCAATACTAGGACAATCCCATCCGTTTCAACAGGAACAATGTCTGATATAAGACATCCTAGTATGAAAAATAGTATTTCTTTAACAAGATCAATGGATCAGTTGACAAATCGTTTGAATTCACGTTCTTCAACTCCTGGAAATGAACCGATGAACAAATACGATCATATGTGTTGTCCACCTTGGTCAAAAACTGATCAAAGGACTTACTCAACAGATTCTTCCCATTCTTATAAATTACAAGCTAGTCCATATGATCATACAGTTGAATTAGCCGATTCAAGACTGGCCATACTACACGATGCAAAATTAGCATCTTTAAGTGTAGATTGGCCTTCTTGTACAATGACTCAAAATATACCTATGAGTAAAGCAAATCGAATTAGATCTTCAAGTTCTTTCTCGTCACCAGTATGCTTGGTATCGACTTCTCTTTCCAATATAACTTCTGAATCTTCATTTTCTACAAACCAATCACATACCAAAGCAGCAACAACCAGTTCATCCTCGTCGTTATCATCTGTTTCATTTGTTACTTCTGAATCTCTTGTTAGAAGTCCAACTTCCGGTCATTGTAGTCCTAATATTCCCGTGAATTGCAATCCGAAAGGACCCACCCTACAGACTGAATCGCCCATATCATCTTGTCAGACAATCAAATCTTCATCTCCAAATGCCGGAATAACTAGAATTCTCAACTCTAGCCAGTCGCAATTCTCAGCGCTTTCTGGAGGAAAATCTCCAACTATTTATTCTTTATGTGGACAATTTTTATCTACGAATACAAATTCAACTAATCATAATGATACCATTGAATTGTCTCATAACGTAGAAAGTAATCGAATTAGTAACTGCCTAGGGAAGCGGTCTATGCTACCTGAACAATATAAACGACATCCCTTAGTAGGTACACCAAGTGTAATGCCAACTTTGTTGCCTCAACCTAAACAAGAGTATACACGAACAAAGTTTTCTGTTGTTACTAATATATCAGATCATCGATCGCAAAACACTTCAATGCCATTGAAAAAACGACTTATTCAACGTTATGAAGCTGATCGTGTAGATATGAAACCATCGGAGTTATCAACATGTAACCTTGTTAAGACTGAACTACCTATGAATAATTCTCAACCTCATAATAGATCAACTAATGCAGATGATTTAAAAAACAATCAATATTCGCCTGAAAGCTGGATCGCAATGAAAGATAATGTAAGCTTTTATCTAATATTCCGTTTCGCGTTAGTAGTAATATATTTATATTGTATTAAAATATACTATCTATGGTTATCCCATATACACAGACACATTATCTCACACGATTTACTACTTATCATGGGATGGGTTGAACATGCAACACACTACTTGAGGATTCAGACAGATGTTGATATATTAAGTTATGAACCAGTGAAGTTACGTAGAATGTTTGCTTTATAAGATAGGTTGGCATCACCTGATCTAGAAACACAACAAATTATAGATAAGGTTTCTAGTATACTAGGCTAGTTGAATAACCTTTTTGCACATAACTCATAGATCGCCCACTGATATCAGGGGTTTTGCTGTTTTGGTTGTGTTTTTATAGTAGGCATTGATAATGTCATCTAGAATGACAATGAAAGCTCTGCAGTTAATCCATTTTATTCAGAAAACATATCACCAAGAATTGAAACAGTTCCTGAATATTTTCAGAGGTAGCTGTTGTTGTCATCTTAGCAGAGTTTTACAGCCGTTGGCTTTAGTGGGTCTAGATATGCTGAGAATCTCTACCTAAGAGATATGTAGGTTTGATTACACTAGCCATTTATAGAAGTAGATGGATACACATGAAGGAAGTCTAAAAAACTCGTACAAGCGTAATTCTTACTTGACAGTCGTTTCTAGAAGGTGAAAGTTCTCATATATTTTTGACTTATTTCAAGCGTATTCCATATTAAATCATACATTTTAATAAATTATCAACTAATTTTAAATCTACCGCAGTGTGCTAATTAATTCTTACTTATTAGATTGAAGTTGAGAGTGTGAATCGTTAGATTCCGTGAAACATAAAGTGCCTGGGTTCTCTCATTGGTCAGTTTATCGATACGCCACCCAGTTCTCTCTGGTTTTCACTGTTATCCTAATTGGTGTCAACACATCATACATATTACCTACATATGTGTTAATTAATGTAAAATAAAATAATTTTATCGGGAGTGAGCGCGATCAAAATTCAGACACTTTAAAAAATGATGGTCTTGTATACACCCACGTTTATGTTGATTTCTTGGAATGAAATAATTTGGAGATGACTCTGAACATTAGTAATGGTTTGATAACAAGTCAAGTTTATTTATTGTAACCTGTCTAAAGTTACATAAAATGAACACCATTAGTCATCTGAACAGTCATCTATATTTCAACTTTAATGACTCAACTAGATCACTGAGCGGCATCAAGATATATTTTGAGTTCATTCTTTACTGGTCTTGAGAAGAGGCATAAACAGAGAAAAACCCCACGGTTTTTACGTTACTTTTCGCTTTGTCTTCCAGCCAGAATGAACACTCATGATCATAACTTGGGGTTACTAGTGACTATTAGGAAGTTCGATTCTAGCTCTTTGTGTAAACTGGCTCTAGGGAAGGAAGAATAGAACACATTAAACTCTGTTAGATAACTCACTTTAAGATAAATTTATGTAGACAGTTGTAAATTTTGTTAGCATTATTACACTGAGATCTCAGTTACACGTCTCCAGGATATAACTCTCTCCAGTATTAAGCCTTCCCAGCATTCTAACTAAACATTTTATTTACATCGAGAAAATGGCAATCTTGTAAAGGGCGCTTCGTTTAAGCATAACCAGGCCAGATATTACACTGGGGCTGAATAATTTAGTAAGTTAACTATCTAGGGACTGGAAACAGTGTCGCTTCCAAAATAGTTCAGTTTTTTAAAGAAGAAAATATATGTACTGTTAGTCACGTTAACGCTTTAATAGTATTTGTTGAAATGATTTTCCCATACTGTCATTGCTTGAGGGGATATTTGATTTTTATTCTCTCACTTAATTACTTCTCAATCATTGAATTATTGATTTTTATAACATATTCAACTTATATTACTTGTGTCCTTAACGTTGCATTGTTTCTTATTTAAAATATAATTGGAATAATTGACAAGATTTTACAGTGATTGATCGACTTAGTAGTAAGCAACGTCTTACTTGTCTAGTTCTTTAAGGCTGTTGATCGTTGCGATGTGGTCAACAGTCTGTGTGAATTATAATTGGATTCGCTATTCTTGGTCATAGGGTAACTGTTCAAGAGTTAGTCGTTACATTAATAACTCAGGGAAAAGATATCTTCATGTAAAACTGGGCTGGACAGATTTGAATCTCGCGAGAATCATTAGTCATCTCAAGAAATAATGTAGCGTTTCTGATGAGTGCAGCTAGAAGGAAATCTACATTCAGAACTGTCTGCAAATTGCTTTCAAATGTATAAGTCTTTTTGTATTGATATAAATATTTGTGATTATTAGAACGTGACGATCGACGTTACTTTATTATCTTGTATAGTCTAGATAGATTTTTCTTTTCAACTTCATCTCTGTTTTGTGCTTATGACATTAAGTTTACTTATTTTCCTTCATAAGTCATTTTATTTATATTTATTATGATTGGTTTTGTTTTCTTATTATTCAGATAGAAAAATTAGATTGTCAAGAGAGAAAATTTAAACGAAAAAAACGTACTAAATATGAAACAGATGAAATGTTAAGCCTAAACACAAATAAAAATAAGCCAACTAAAATCCGTACAAAATCTTCATTAAGTTCTTTAAGAAAATCTAATTCAAAAAGTACACGTCGATTAAAACATTCATTGAATGATGATGTAGAATCGAAATTGAGTATGAATGAACAATTGTCAACGATGAAATTAGAATTCGATGATATCACTAATGACGATGAAGATGATGATGTCATTGTTAATGATAATAATGATGAAGTAAGAGAAGAGCAAGAGAAAAACAATGATGATGATAATGAGGTCGATGATGAAAGAATTAAACCGACAGTTAGAAGACGACGTTCAAGAAAGCATAGCTCAAGTGCAAACAGTACATCAAGTTTATCACATACATCATTATGTAGTGATTTAATTAGAGGTAATGTAAAAAAACGTATAGCTGCTGTTAATGGTAATCTTATGATGATGGTTACGGCACACGCTCAAAGAAGCACTAGTTCAGGTAGTAATAACAGTAATAGTAGTAGTTCTTCTAGTTTACAAAGTGTTGACGGTGAAGTCAGTGATGATGATAATGATGTATGTTTGAATTCTTCATCAAACTCATCTGTTAATACTACGCGTTCAAAATGTTCCACTGATGGTCACTTACCTTATTCAAGACTACAATCATATAAATCTACTTTAAAATATTTAACAATAAATTCTAATACCATCACTAATAATAATAGTCAATCATTAAATTCAAGTGATGGATCACCTGGTATTACACATTCATCCATGGATAGTGAACAGAGTATCTATGGTGTTGGTAATGGTGATAATTTAAGAAAACCGAAAAGAACAGCTACTTTAACTGTATCATCTGGTAGTACAACTGGACCGACAATTATAACAGCAAAAAAGCCTCGTCTGTCATCTGCATCATCGTTAACAACCACGAAGACAACGATGATGACAACAACAGGAAAACCAATAAAAACGTCATCGAAACAACATCGACGTGGTGATAACGGCAAGTCAAAAACTACCATTCATAAAGAGGACGGTAATGATTCAACAGTATGTATGAAATTTAAGACAGATTTATTAGATCAAGATAGTTGTACATTGATGTATGAAAATTCTACGCCAGATGAATTGTCAGCTGCTTTAGCTGAAGAAAATTTGCAAGTTGAAGAACTGGTTGAACAACTTCCTGGACCACCTGATTGTAAGTGATTGTAAATCACTAAAGTATATGACATTTATCTATCTACGTTGTTTTTTATTGTACTATTTTAAACTAATGTTTCATGATTTATTTCATTCATTTTAAATAGAGATATGTAGGAAGCTGTCACTTCGCGACTGCTTACACTGTGGAATGATACTTTTTCTTAAGCGACTTAAAAAGGAAACCGAGTTGGTAGTGGTCTTGTCAACTTTGGTGTTTGAATGCAAGGTCTAAGAGATAATTACTTGAGACAAGTTACACGCAGTTTTTTTGTGAGTAGCGTTTGGTCTGATTCCTTCGTATTTTTATTACCTTATGGTTAGTGATGGAAATCTGTTGGGCTGTGGAATGGAGGCTTAGTGGTTAAAGTGTTAGACCTTCACCCGCTAGGTTCAGGATAAGAACTCCGCTTCACCTATTACGGCTTTGGTAACCGGGTAGTATCTTTAGCGCCAACACTTGGAATTTGGCTCATATCCACATATTCAATGAATTATTACTGTCAATTATGTTAATCTCTTTCTTCCGTTGTGGGAAGGAAGTATCACTACACATGTTGGTTGTATGGGGGAAATGCCACATTTTCGTTAAGCTTCAGTACAGTCAGGAGTACGACTTCAGCCTAGGACCTTAAGTTTCTGCTGTCAGCTTCACTTCTCTCCATCTAACCCGCTTGATGTGACACTTAACAAGTTTGGTAGCTAATGCAGCTTGCTCAATTAAGTCATCACGATGTATAAGCCCGATAACTACATCCTAAGCAGCTACAATTTTGAACCCGTTAAATGCACGTACGAATCTGTGAACTCGTTTCTGAGTCATACTTATACTATGAGAGGTTTTCAAATCGATATAGATGGGCAATGACTTTAGAGGCGTAGACATAATATAGAAAAGTTTGGCAGTCATCAAGGAACTATTCTGTTTGTAAATAATTTAAAATTTTTATTTTTCGTTTCTGTAATTTCTTGAAATTTAGTTCTATTTTATACTTTGAATTTAAACAGTAGGGATAATATTTTTAATCCGTCAAAATGGCAATTATAGGTTATGAGCTTAATATATTTCCTCTATACTTCACCAATAATTAGCAAAGTGACTGATGTCAAATCAAGGAGAGTTGACAACCATAAATAAATAAATAATTCCTTAATCGTATCCTGAAATTCAGGAACGTCGATCATATTATTATTTTACGTGGTATAGAACCTAGAACTCTTACATCTTTCAAATTTTACAGCTTACATTTTCGACTTGAAACAGTTCATGAGTTTTCTGTGACTTTGAGCTAGTGTTATCTCTCAGTTATTGTGCCAGTTTCTTGACTCAGTATTTCACAGGTTATGGGTCCTCTTATAAGTATTTCTGTCGATTCATTTTTTATTGGATAATTATGATTATTGTATAGTCTGGTGGAAATGTGAGTTGGCTCGAGTCACTAACTATATATTAACACAATAAGATGAAATTAATAAAATCAATAGCGAAAGAGGTCGAAATAGTGTAGTAACTAGTGATAACAAGAAGAATAAAACATAGAGAATATGATTCGAAAAGACGGAGTGGACAAGTATATATGAAGGAATACTTGGATTGAACATGTAGAGTGAAATTAAGAACGAATGAATCTACGTCACTGCCACATTCTGATCCATGTCATCCACATTTCCAACCATAGGTCACAATATTCACTTTGATCCCAACCACTCCGTTTGTATCTAAATCAACATGGCTCAGATCAACAGTCAGTTCATAAAGTGTTCTCACGTCTTGGTAAGACCTCTACTAGATTTCTTTCAACTTACTATTACACCAGCTCACAGTGCCTGTTGAGGTAGACGATATTTTGGCATACGTAGCAAATATCCCAACCACCTCGGTGAATGAAAATACGCAACCTTATTAACTGATTTTGAAGTGAATAGTATGTCATAATTGTAGCTGTTATTCGTTTTCACCGTTTATTTCTTTCTTTCTTTCAGTTTCTTCCTTAAAGGTATGACAAATTTATGCAATAGCATTTATGACTAATCTATTGATATTGTTTCTTTTTTCCTCAAAGTGAATCGAACAGCCAATAAATCACTACACTCTTCACATTCATTAAATTTTTATAAGCGAAGTCAACGTGTTTTTGTTCAACTTATAAATTGTAATGATCCAGGATTGAAACAAGTTCCGAAATGTCGTGCTTGTCGTCAAACGAAATTTTCCTACCATAATTCACCTTTAATTCATACAAACGGACAAATCGATTCAGATGATGATGATGTTGATGAAGAGAATCCGAAACTTATAATCAGTGATGTCCCTAGTCCAACCAATAATCAAAATTTTTCGAATGGATTGACTAAAGATATTCAATTTAAAAAACCACCTGGTCGAAGAACTACTTTGGCTAAAAATACCCGTAAAGAAAGTATCACTGATAAATCGAAAAATAAACGAAATGCTACACATCCATCAATGTCAGTATTCTGTCGTTTTTGGGGATTTAGAAAGTGAGTGTTGGTAAATATAGAGCTGCTTGGTTTCTCAACCATTTTCTTGTTACCAATTTTTATTCTCAAAATAGTCAATAATTTTAGTGTTACTGTGACATAATATTGATAAATGAAATGATCGAAATTAAAAACAAGTAGCAAATTGTGATGATCATTACATTTCTGTACACTAATTTGTTAAGAAATATAATATTTCTAAATAAACCTTGATTGAACTCAATCATTTTGTACAATTTAAACTGCAGTCGCACATTTGAATCTGAGACCTGGAAACTCACATCTTCAACTGGAGATTCTCAGGGATATCATGATGTCTTCTAGAAGTATGCGTCCATTTCACATTATAACATAATCACTTGAAGCCACAATAAACCTCTTGAGTTTCTTTTGTCATCTTAATTATTTGGAACTAGTTAGCTGGATTCACTTGGATTTTAGTGTTAATGTTCACAATAAGACTTTAACCTAATCAATAAATTTCACTCGAAATGTCTAGTGAGTTATCCACCGAGCTACTGATTTTAAATATCCGCGAATTCGTGCAACGGTAACAGATTCTATTGGTAAACTGAATTTTCTCGTTAGGTTTCTATTTTCACCATGAGCATCAACACTGGTGTGTAAGTGGATCCATCTAATTTGTCCTGAATAGGACCGAATATGCGTACTGGATTTCACTACTAGCACATCATTCAACTGTAATGTAGGGTAATGTGTTTAATGCTAATACTTTAGAGATTATTGTTTCGATCTTTCCTTTATTGTATACTAATCTATAACCTATTAAGCAGTTAATTAACTCTGACTTTTTGCACAGTTCTGATTTGAAATGTCATTTAGTTATTATTTTTTTAAAGGTATTAATTTGCTCAGAGAACTTGATCATATACAAAAAATGATGTCGGATCTAATCTATGCTAGAAAACCAATATTATATTTTACATATTATACTCTAATTACGAAACAATATAATTATCATGATGATATCTTTTTGAACCTGTAAAATATGATCAATGATGTATTTAAGCCTCGGAGACTGGTCGATCTTCGAATAGTCTCATGTCTTGCTAGGTATGAAATGAAATAAAAGTATCTGCCTACGCTTCCCGGGTAATGGTCGCTATCAGGGACTATTAGTTAATTGGAAATAGTCGAAAGGAAACCATAAACCTAGGTTTCGTACTGATTGGTACTCATCGACTAGACTTATATGCCGTCTTAGGTAGGGGTAAATGATACTCCCTGTAGGATTCATACCCTTCATATTCAGTTTTACAGTCTATGATATCGCTATTGAACTTTTCGGATAGCTATTAAAATTCTGTGGTGCATAGGCTTCTTGACTGATTGGTTATCACCTCAGCAACTAGCCTTAATTAGCATAAAACCTAGGTTCAAACAGGTTAACTCAAAACCTGAGGTGTATGAGCTTGTAATTTTTTTAGATCAACTGAAACAGACGACCAGTTTATAATCTAATAGCTACAAATACATTATGCGTATTCGTTTGTTGAATTTGTAGCCTAGGTGTCAATTATTTATCCAATTACTAAGGGATAATTTACTAAAAATTGTTGTCAAGGTTACAATAAATCCAAACATTATCAGAATCAATATTGTAAGTAAATATAATGAATGATATTGTAACATTCAAATTTTGGTAGATTTGTGTCTAGCGTGAAAGTATGTTGTTTGGTGTGGGAAGAGTAGCATGCAGAGCCGTCTTTATGAGAAAGAACCTGGAAGAGAAAGGAAAATGTGAGGAAAGCTGAGTTGTAAACTTATTAAACATATAAAATGTATTTACATTTAATAATGAAGCAACTGGCAACTCCCAACCACACGAGATTAAGACCGGAGCAACCAGACCAAGAAATAACATTAATCCATGAATTCACTGACTGTTGGTCTGAACCATGTGTGCAGATGTATATTAAATAGTTAAAATGGTTCAAGATATTGGGTGATGGGGACCAAGATTATTCACAATGGCGAATATACATTCATTCTATATCTATATTTATATCTTTAATTTAAGTATTCCTTCATACATACTTGTCCACTCCGTCTTTTCGAATCATATTCTCTATGTTTTATTCTTCTTGTTATCACTAGTTACTACACTATTTCGACCTCTTTCGCTATTGATTTTATTAATTTCATCTTATTGTGTTAATATATAGTTAGTGACTTTAGCCAACAAACATATGTTCCAGTCTGTACATTGATGTTGACTGCTATTATAATACATGTGGATAAATCAATGTTAAAAGTTGGTCATATGAAAAAAGCATAAAAAACTAAGGAGAATTTAGGGAAGAAAATTTTCTTTCCGACAAAATCATTTACTAAAACTCAACATTTGTGTTTATAATTATATGGTAAATACATGTCTTTAAGAGGCTCTGAAAGATTGCATCATAAAGCGATTCGAGAGTCTAAATATCAAATACGGTTACGTAATAATTGGGTGGGGGTTGAGAAGAATAAAAGGATGAAAATAAATTGATTTCGTCGATTCGACATCAAAGTAAATGGCAGAAAGACAACCTCATTGTGTCTCACTCCTCTCTTTACAAATGTCCCACTCACAGAAATTATGTTTTTATGTGACTATATTGAAAACTTATAAACGATTGTTTACGCGAAATACTCAATATCTGTTGGCTGGATACCATCAGTAATAGCCTACTGTGAGGGAGGACAAACCAGCTTTCAACTGAGGAGGAAACTAGGAGAAGATACTGGAGATGGATAGGACATATATTGTGGAAATCATTGAACTGCTTCACGAGGCAAGCTCTAACTTGGAATTCTGAAGGGAAACGGAAACGAGGAAGGCCAAGAAATAATAATTCAGCGACACGTGTTACTTTAAATAAAATTTTGTCACTATTCGTTTTTAACAGTTCACATAACTATTAATTTTAAAAGGATAAGCATTAAAAGAATATAATATGTTTTGCTTCCCAATTTTGTTGTAACTAATAATGTATAGTTTCCATGACTTATTAATTAATTAACATAAAAATGATAATTGATTTTTTTCTTTCCATTCTATTGTTTAAAACAAACAAAATAAACACAAAATTCAACTATGAAATGGAACAAAACACCAGATTATGTTATAATAATAGAGGTGTATTGAAAATAGCTGATTTTTGTCGATCCACTGAATCCGATGCTTTAGAACGTTCATTATGGGAAATGTATCATCCAGGTAATGGACATAATTTTATTGTATGAATTGTCTCACTGTTATTGTTATTTATTTAGTTTTTTGTATGTGTGTATGTATGTCATTTTGAATTTAATGAAATTAAAATCCACACTATCGTGTTCATGTGATTTTTTCTTGTTGTTGTGTCGTATATAACAACCTTCTTTTTTAAAAAAATTTTGCAAAACATTTTCTTGACATTGTGTTGTTTGTTCCAAATGGATGGTTTAATTGCAGAGTATTCACTATTGTCCTGGCTAATACCATTAGAAGTGCATAGAACAACAATCAAAGCTCAAACAATTAAACTGTTTATCTAGCTTAGTGAACACAATATAACTAAGAACACTCATATAAGCTGGAAAGCTTCTCCACTGTTTAAAAACTTATAAAACGATTTGACCTTTACAGTATTTATTTGATATTAGTGACTTAGTTTTTAGGATTCTTCGATTTTCAATCATTTGTACTATCAATTCTCGAACTGTATTTCACTAGACTTTTCTGAAGCGTTGTCTTCTGTGAGTACTAATTATTGTTTCTTATTTACAAAGCTGATCCAAATCACAAGTCAAAAGTATAAACATGATACTTGACCGTTGAATTCTCTTTGTTGTTAACTATTGTCAACTTGTAATTATTCAGTACATAAGTGTTATGTAGTAGATTCGATTCATTTCTGTGAAAATATTACATATAACAGTAATTACTGAGCTTGAATGATAAATAGATAGATATGGGTGGGATCGGTCCTCAATCGTTTAGAGCAATTAATTTGTAACTGTGAAAATATTGAAATTAACCTCCATGTTCTAGATTTTTCCAAACTGAATAATTATGAACGCTAACTATATGCTTTCAAGCATCTCAATGAAACATTTACAACCATTCACACTACTTAAATAGTAGTAAAGTCCAATGGAAATGCTTGATGTGCCGGCATCATCTGTCCTTTGAAGGTAAGAGAGATGAATGTATTGGAATTCATGCATGCAATATATGATGGAGGAAGAAACCTATTTGTAGCAGTTAAACTGATAGAAGGCTTCCATGATTGAGGATGAGTGATAAACTGACAATTGAGAGACATTGATAAAATCTATATTTTTAAATAATTGAAATTTGAATGAATGTTAAAGAGAAATTTGTTGGGACATTTTACAAGTGATAATGAGAATTCGGCACTGTAACACAATTTCTAGTCTTGAAATGAAGTCATTATCACTGTTTATGTGTAAGTAGGCAGACTAATATACGAGTAAACTGAGCATTAAGTAATCTTACATTGAGATACTCTGGTCCATGTTGTAATCTTTTTTAGAATAATGTAAAATGAGAAGTTAACAAGAATTATTAAGCTTCTATCAACCGATCTCATTCTTTAATGACTATAATCCAACAACTAATCACATCTGATAGGTTGGTTAAAAAAAACTAAAGAGGAAATGGTTTCTATGTTTCCATATCATCTGCTGCAATAATTGTGTTGTTTAAATCTGGGGTATTATTGACAGAGAACTTTCTTTTCAGCTAATTTAAACCATAAAGAAATGGGTTAATTTACTAGACTATCCAATTTCTCAGTGCTTTTGAAGTTATGAATGCTACTGTTTTACCGGATGTACTCATTATAGTAGGATGTTACTTTTCATGAGACCTTAAGAGAAAACTGTGTTAGTGGTGGTTTTGACGAGCTGAGAGAGTGGTCGCAACATCTTAGGGACAACTGCTTATGGCTGATCATACATGGCCTTTTTGTGGATAGTTTTAGATGTGTTAGCTGTGGATCTTTAAGGGCTTATCTCTATTGATCGAAATCCACAGGCCAAGCCAATTTTACCGCTGACCTCTTTTACTCCTTATCCTCCTGTCGTGAGAAGGCAGAATCACTGTAAATTGTGGTTGTCTAAAGAAAACACTACTGTCGTCGTAACATAGTACAGTAGAAAGTACTAGTTCTCCCTCGGATCGCGGGCTTAGTTTTTCCTATCTTTAACCAATCTATCTGATATAATAGGATCCAATGGGACGAATACTTCAGCCAGTATAGATCGGATGGATGATTATGATACTCTAACCTGACCATGTCAAGGTAGTAGAGACGGTTGGGTTTCAGGTTAAAATGCAGAACACTATAAAGACAATGAATTGATGACTTTTTCCCTCAACACTGATTAGTGATCTTTTTATCATATTTCTCCACAGTTTCACCATTTTTAAGCACATGCGCTGCTAAATACATTTTGGAATGTGCTGGTGGCCTATTCTGTCGTCTTCTTCATCAAGAATTAACAAGTTTGAATAATAATCATGCTCATCAAAGTCAAAATGAAAAAATCAACTCATTAACTGGCAAAAACAGAATTAGTGGTCATACAATGGAATCAAATAACAAAAATGATGGCATTATTAATTCAGTTGCATGGAAAAGGCCAGTAAAAGGTGTACGTGAAATGTGTGATGTCTGTGAAACAACAATGTTCAATACACACTGGGTTTGTGGTAAATGTGGTTATTCAGTGTGTACAGATTGTTTGAACGAATCGAAACCATTCAGTTCTGTAAGTGACAGCAATTCGGATACACGTGATCATGTGAAATTCAATGAAAATAGTACAGTGGAGAAAAAAGGCAAATTAAAATACTTAAGAGGTTAGTAAGACAATTTTTTTGAAATTTTATCTCTTTGCCATTATTTTTTCTCATGATTCTAATTCTTGTCATAATACCTAATTAAATAACAAGTTGTTCATTGGACCTAGAGGTAAATCACTGATTAAAGTGATTGATTTCGTTTGGGAATGTAGACTGTTAGATGGTGTTAGATAGTGCGATCTCCGCAACACTTTAAGTTTCTCGGTTCAATCCCTTACAAAGTTATGTGAATATGGTTGCGTTTCATGAGGCAGGCGATTTAATTGAGTAGGCTATATATGGTTTTTCTTCACTGATGGACACTAGATGGTGAAATAGTTAACAATCCGTACTGTACAGTTGTTTTGGCTTCAACAATGGGCACCCATGAATCAACAAGAAACCTAAATCGAACCTCCATGAATCCTCATTGAGTGGGTTACTTTCAGACCGTTGAGTTGCGATTTAGTGGTCCATGTTGTCTTCTTCAGTCACTCAATTTGTTGAGTATATTTCAGGGACTCAATAAATTAATTGCCTTGCACAACTTCGGTTAGTGTAGTTATGTTGGCTAAGAGTGTCAACGTCTGAATTGTAGCCAGGTAATTTTGACTTGGAGAATTGGATGTATTTTCTTGCAATTTAAAATTATTTAAACACTCATACATGATTATATAGTTAATCTTTCAGCTTACATTGCGGATTGGCTGGATAGATAATCACTGGAAACCGAGAAGCACTGAGCAATGCATATCCGTGGTTGCTGAGTATCACGAATTGGCTAGAGCTATAAGTGTAAGCCTTTAGATGTCACCCAATGATCTGAAGGTCAAACGCTCCTTGTAAGGTCTGCATGTCCCGGATTTTACCTCTTATGTGTTTGTGGACGTGCATTACTTAGGAGTCTTATTCAAGGACGAAACAACTGTCTAGTGCTCCCCACCTTTCAATGGCTAACTAACTACAGTCAGAACGTGATGTAAACTAGATAATCCAACAGTCACTGCAAACTGTTAATAAAGGTTTGTAATTTCTTGGTGTTATTATTTAGGATCGCAGCTAATAAGACTCTTGAGCCATGTGTACATCCTGAGTGAATTATCTCATTACATCAATAGTCTGTGTGTAAACACCTACACTGGAATGTAGTACACGCACCTGACGAGCCCCAGATAGGATGAAACACTTGTCCTGAATCTTAGTAGTAGCCAAATACTAAGTACAAGGTAATATGATAAACTCATTATTATTCAGATTATTCACAATATTATTATTATCATACCGGTGTCCTTTCTCTTTTGTTACAATAATTTCTCAAGGTCGTGGTTGCCCATATGGTTGGGCATCGTGTACTACTACGCGTCAACCTCATGATCCAAACAAGCTGTTATTAACTTCTCTGTTACCGTCTGGTATTATTGGTCGATTACTTCATCGATTGCATCGCATAGCGAACTATTATAAAATTAATTTAGGCTGTAATTGCTCTCCTTCTTCAACAGTGGGTAATGATGCAACAGATTCATCAAATGATACATTATTATTCATGAAACCAATGAAATCATTGAATAATCGTGAATGTTTAGATCGTAATTCTCTTGATTTACTAGCTGATATTGCTTTGAAAACTGATATGGGGAACACTGGACCACTTACTGCTGGTAATAGTAATAACAGTAGTAACGGTATTGTAGATAATGTTGTTGTGGAAACAGAATTTAATGCTTCACGTAATAATCCTTCTTCTATAACAACAGATAATGGGATCAGTTTATCAGACAATAACAATAATAACAAACGTATGATGATAATGATGGATTTTCCATCTCATAGTTGGATTCATTCCAAACGAAGGCACATTAATCAAAGGTCCTGTTGTCAAAAAATGAATGATTCAACTAACATCACTAATACAAGTACTATCACTGTTAAACATAAAACGAAGCATAATGATAATCATGGATTTGATTTTCACAGAGAATCAAATTTGAAAATTTATCAACCTTCAGAAATAATCAATCGTCATCATCATCACAATCCCGTTTTCTTACGTTTACATTGTCCTGATTCCATTGGAAATTTATTGGCGTTCCAAGTGAGTATTGTTTTCGTGCAAATATATGTTGACAGTGATTAATAGCTGTATTCATTTTTTGATGTTCAATCGTTTCTTAGGGAAAAACATTAGAATCATTTTCTTGTTTTAATTGAGCTGCATTGTAGTTTACTGAAAAAGATGCGATCAAATGTATGGTTAGCGGTTGAATCTCTTGTAACTCAAAAGTATTTAAGTCAGTAGTGGCCTTACAGACGATTTTTATCACACAATGTATGTACATATATGTTAGATAAGTTATTTTATGATAAATATATTTTACCATTCAAATCACTAACTGATCATAGCTAGACCACCTGGAGGGTCGTTTCATCCTAGCGTAGTATTCCTTAGTAGCGCGAATCCATGACTTCACACCCGGGAACTGATCTGGATATCTCTGGTTTCATGCGCAAACACTCAACCACTGAGTTAGCATCCGACGGTGTTAATGAGTAACTTTAATCAACATACGATATTACGCAACCCACATCTAGCTAAGATCAATTCGTAGTTTAATCTATGAGAATTTCGAAATCTCCAGAAATTCCCCTATATTAATAATGATAATGTGTTCACTGGTGACCAACTTTAATATAAAACTCTTGGAGTTTTAGTGAGAAGGCATGACGAATGTAATTCAACCATGTCATGTGTGAAACAGTTGTTCACCATAGGGAACGAATTACGGGTTCCCAGTATCGTGAACTGATTGAATTTAGACTGTAAACCATTGGACCCTTGCTCAGTGGTCCAGAGGTTAAACGTTTGAGCGCGAGATCGAAGATCTTGGGTCCAGTTTCTGGATGTTTGGTTTGTGCGCTGCTGAGGAGTCTTATACTAGGATGAAACAGTTGCCTATTGCTTCCAGGTTTTCAGCGGTGTTTTAGTTATGTTTTATTCGCAATTTAAACTATGAAAATACTTTTATCCACAAAAATCTCCCCATTTTAACTTTTATGTTCTGTATCTTTTTCCGTCTAATTTAAGACTAAAACTGGACGTAAACCTATTTTCGAGGCTGTCTAGCTTCCAAGTATTCATTGTTTAGTGATTATGTTATGATATTCTCATTAAAAAGGCTAGTCGGAAACTAACGCGATTATAATAGAAAGTATTAGTAAATTGAAACCAATTTACAAAATAAAAACAACCGAACGGTTCCTAAAGCAGACTTTTTTTAGTTTGTGTTACATTGATTAAACCGTAGTCAAATATCAAATTTAGTAACTTAAGCATATAGTCTATGTGCTAAGATGAAACAATTATATTTCCTCGTGGGTACGTTTCTAATCCTTCTTCCTCTCTCAATGATTCTCTAACCAGCTGACGAGAAAACTATCTCCTAACTGTATAAATCTTAGCAGATACCAAAGTAGAATACTTATGGACTTAATATTTAGCCTGTATTGAGTAACACTGATTAGCCAACAAATTTCTATGAACAAAACTTATAATCCGTTGACTGCTATTTAGAATTAAACTTGTTCTATTGAAATCGAATTCGCCTCGATGTTAATCAGAACAACTTCTGCATGATTTATTGTCACCTTAATAAATGCATGGAGTGTCTGTAATCTGCTCAACTAATTCTTTGCAATGAAAATATATATTGTTTAATTTTATCTTATATTATTATATACAAATATCTGTACACGGAAAATATGTAGATGAACAAAATAAATAATAAACACACATACATAGATACATACCGAAATGCATACACATTCATGAATGCATAGATATATATAATTTGGCAAACAGTCATTGCGAATCAGCTGATGTAATTATTATGTCTATTACCAATAGTGTTATAAATGAATCTTGATATGATAGATATCTACATGTGTATACATACATGGCAGACCTGTTAATCTTTTTCATCAATGCAGTACAATAATATACCTTGGATATCGATCGATTAATCAGTAAACTGATTCAACATTATCATTATATGTTTCTTCACCAGGGGTTACTACTTTAATTTATTTAAGCTGGAAGAATGTGAAGTTTCTGAGGTGAAATAGTAGTAAATAATGGTGATAATAATGATAATGATTTTAGACGTAAAGTAACTTATTACGGCTATTGTCGATATCTCTAGCTGCTTCTTCTCGTGGCGACGATTATGTTGATGATGTTTAAGACAATAGAACCTTGCAATACTTATGAATTTTTGTAGGAATCTGTTAATAAATCGATATATTTTCATTAAGGAGTGCTTTTTCTTACCCATGGAGTACTGAATATCAGTTTCGGATTGTTTTGAAACCTTCTGTTGGATAGAACAAGGGACTATAGACTATAGAATCTTGGATTAAGCGAGGTGACTATAATCCACAAGTACACATTTGTGGATATTCGTTCAAGTGTGTCCATTCTCCATTGGCTTATCATGAAAAATAATAGATTTCAACTGAGGATGAGAACCCAATTAGTTCACTGGGAAGTCATTTACACCGGTGATCAGATGGTAACTTGATCAATAGATTTCAATCTGAGCTAAGGATTATAAAAACATGCCATGTATTCAGTGTGCTTAATCCAACTACCGCTTACCTCGATGTGCGGTGTTTGTCAGTGCATATAGTAAAATAGCCAAACCAATCACATGGGTTTATCTTATGAAGTCATCGGCTATTGGCTTGAACCCTATACTTGGGTTTAGTCTACCTGGTTGGGGTTCGAGCTATTATTGTATTCAATAGTTGCAGATATTGAATGAGACGGTCCACAGTGGCGCAGATGCATTCATTTTGTCTTTTACTTGTTATTCAGTAATTTCATTTTTTCTCCACGGGTATTATTGTCTGTGGATGATCTTTTTTATTACCAATAATACTTTTACTATTTCTAATGCTCTGGCATTTGTCTTGATAATTTGCTATGCTAATGGTGTGTCAATTTGAACCCAATACATATAAATGTACCAAGCTCTACATTGCTTATATCTGACAAAACCGACTTGCTACCACTCAATGAATTGTCGATATGACCATAAATATTCACTGCTACAAGTATTTGCTATGTACGTAAAACGAAAAGAAACCCTTTTTTATGCTGTAATATCTAAAAAGAATTAAAATACTTAATCGATTTTATTACTTCTGAGCTATTACGATTGTTGTTATAGTTTTCGCCAAAGAAAAAAATATGACTGAAATCAAAACACAATGAGCATTCGCCTGTATTGTTTATTTCTTTTTGAAAAGAAAACAAACAACATAGTTCATACCATCACAAAAATTTCAATTTTCATTCTCTCATTTTCTCATTCATGCATGTCTTTTATTAAATTAAATTAATCAACTTACAATGTTTTGGTTAAATTAACAACAAATTTTGTGTAATCAGCTGTGTCCATTTGATGTGCATTATATCTTATGTATATACCTGAGTATAAATCAATGCGATTAGTTGTCTTTTGAAATCATCATAATTGGTCTAAACACGTTAAAGAATAGGGAGGAAACGGTCTCGTTTTTGGTCTGTACATGAGATGACCATAAATGAGGTAATCCTATCTGTTCCTTTTTTGGTCGAGTTAACATTTTGATAATTTTTCTTCAGACCACGAACCGATCAGTGTAAAACCACCACTGAAAACCTAGAAGCATTGCATGACGCCCCAGCAGAACGCATTCACGACCCCGCATGCAGGGCTCAAACTCATAACATTCAGTCTTGTGCGCGAACTCAACCTCTAAACCACTGATCCGGCATTCGACGGTGTTAATGTTTAACTTCACGTAATATCGGGGACTGGTTGAAGCAGCCTGATCATAGATGTACACTGCTAAGTAGTCCCATACTAGGACAAAACGGCCGTCCAGTGCATCCAGGTTTCCAGTGGTGGCCTGACATTGATCGGTTCATGATTTCAATATAAGCTCAACAGTCTCCACAACCTCTTTGCTGATCATCGTGATAATTTTTGACAATAATTATTTAATGTGGTTGTCTGTAGAAGAAGTTTGAAAAATGGTTTGTTAGGTAGTTATAGATAATGTAAATTCTATCACAAGTGTATATTTCGGTTCAATTTACCAAAACGTCCCTTCTCAGAAATGCAAGAGAAGGGATTCAATGAAATGAAGTACAAAAAATTAAAAAGTGACCTATAATGAATTTTAGTGGGAACTTCGAAACGAAGATAGTTGGTTAGAAGTCAGACAAATAAACCACTGATTGGTAGCTTACTGATCCGAAATTCAAGCTTTCGCCACGAGATCTGAAGGCCTTTGGATCGGTCTTCGATGGAGTCATGGATGTACACTTCTGAAAATTCTAATAGTAGAGCGAAACAGCTGTCAGCGTTTTGTGGTTTTTACTGGTTAACTAACTGAAGCCGGTTCGTGACATCAACAACAATTGAAAAATAAAGAACATGAAATAATTTTTAAATTCTAGATGTAGATGAAGATAAAAAAAACGAACTGTACACATAAATCACTGGCAACGATTTGCAGTCATATTATTTATGCCTCCGATCATAAACTGTACTTTTACGCACATCCTAACCAAGAAGATCAGTTCTCTCTAACTACTCAGCCCATATTTGGAGTACTGCTTGAGTATGAGGGCGGTTGTTACTTCGTGTTAGCCCATATAGTTGAAGAGTAATTATTGAAGGATCTAAAAAGAAACCTGATCTTGTGCTGTAACTACTGGACTCAATAGGTAACTGCTTGAGGCTTATCACACACAGCCTTTATATGAATAGTTTTTGGTGTGTTACCTCCACAATTTCAAGAGCTTGTCACCAGCGAGGAAAATCCGTGGGATACGGTGAGGTGTTCTGGGATCAACTTTTTACATCTTCTTACTTCCGATGTGAGTAGGCAGTTTCACTATAACTGCTGGTTGTATAGGTGAAAGGTTCCTTTATCGTCACAATCTAGTACAGTTGGGGGTTCAGCTTCACCCTTGGACTTTAAGTTTTTTGCTTTAAGACCGATAGTAAATGGCTCAAATTGATGTTATATTTTGGCGATAGTGTAGATCAGTAGACTAGAATTCATGTCACCTTATGTTATTGTTCTATTCATTGCGTATTATCGTTTATTGATGTTTATTTAGATTCTTTTTCAAAAGTTCGGAACCTGTATTAATTATATTTACCATTTATTTTTTCTATGTAGCTGGTAGGTCAAATTTACAATGTATCAATAAGGGAATTGCATAATTGTGAAATATGTTTATACTGTGTAATGTTGGTTTAATTTTCAAAAAGGGTCAATTGTATTTTCTAAAATGTATAAAAAAACGGCTAATCCATCAATTTATTTGCTAATCAAAATATTTTTAAATAATGTAGAAGTTTTGCAGGTAAAATGGATGCTTTTGGTAGTACTTTGTTCTTTGAAGTACACGGTTTAACTAGGAAGCTTTCATTATCATTCTGGACAACTTTATCAGCTTCTAATTCATGTAGTTGTATAGGCTGATGATTTCTGTTCAGAGACGCAATGAAAAGTTTACAATTAAATTATCAGCCTTATAAAACACAGTACCACTTAATAGTTAACATGTCTTATCACAAAATGGTATAAAATACAATTTACTTTTAAAAACTAGAAACTAATCATATTGATCAAATGAATAGTGTTGATAGTTTGAAGCTTTGTCTGTTTTTTTCTTCAATGTAAAGGTAAATAACTGAAATATCACTTACACCAATATATATACACACACACACACGTATACATCAATCCTAGATGTTTAAACGCTTACGACGAATGTAATATTCATTCCCAATTGTTGTTCATAGGCGACATTTTTATCTGTTTGACCATTGTCGCCCACCTCACTTGTATAGGTAGCGTTCATGCAACAATATGTAAAGTATGTCGTGTGATATTTTTTAAAACTGTGTTATCAAGCTTTGATATCAATTTGACAAGACAATTTTGTTTTTCGTTTTGTGGAAAGTTACTCCTCGTTGATGTACTTCTTCGTTTTGTCTATTATATCTTTTTTAATACATATTACTTTGTATGGATTACACATTACTTGCCTTATATTGTGTTTTTTTTCGTATCATTTCGTTTTTCATCTTCTCAAATCTCTGTCTTCTAGTCCGAATGGAGACGTAATCATCCGCTTGTTATATCTGGATGTCAACGTAAATTTACCCAAGAATTATGGACTCCACAAAGTTTTTCAAATGATTTTGGTGATATGAAAACTACATTAATTGATTGTGCCACGGGTGCTGAAATAACACGTTATACGTTAAAGTCATTTTGGGATGGTTTCGAAAAACGTGAACGTAAGTGTTTGTTTGTTTATGTGTGTGAGTGTGTATTGTTAAAAAGTGTTTTAATGTAAAACAAGAATACTGGTTTACTTATACATAGTGCTTTAAAGATCAATAAATGAAAACTATGTTCATATCCATCTCTTTCTGACTCCTTTCATGTATGTAGTTATCGTAGGCACATTGACTGATCATTGGATAATGCCAAAGATCCTGTTTGTTTAGTCCTTTAATGTTGCTGATCAAATTCTATCGATCAAGTTGCAATGCGGTTACCAGTCTAAGTGACTCAACACTGCGTAAAATAGTTGAGATGTCACATAGTTGGCGATAGTCGATAAGAAACCCTTTTTGACCTAGGTTTTGTGCCCAATAATACTCGTTATTGAGGCGTACGTGGAACTTTGAGAACACTAACGCTTCCTGTTGGATTCGAAATGACGTCAACCAGCTTTGAAGTCCGTCACTTTACCACTGAGCTATTTAGGCCGGATTTATATGACTACATTCCACTTACCAATGCTGAATTAAATCAATAGGAATAAGGTATTAACTGTTTCTTCTCTTAGCCTTCTATACTGTTCATTGACTTGATTTGTCAATCTTTATAGGTTGATATTGAATACTGAATTAAAAAGGTGTAGAAATACCAATTAACTAACTTATGATGAATGCTACTGATATCGATAGATATAAGTAGTATGTATCACCATCGGTAGTGAAATGCCTGGCGGCAGAAGGTTAAGAAAATAGAAAAGAGAACATGAACAGAGAATGATTGGTGTGAAAACGAAGGAACATTGAAGTCTGAGACTATTGATTGACATTTTGCAAATGAAGTATTTACTATATTGAATTAATTTTTCTGGTTAGCGTTTTTTTAGCGAGTTGGTTTTCTACGGGATGGGGTTGCTAACCCCATGCCCAACCCTCCTCCTTTACCCGGGCTTGGGACCGGCAGTGACTCTAGAAGAGCTACAAGTGGAGTTATTTACTATTTGGTTCTTAGATTTTACTAAGACGTTCTGTAATTTCATATTCAAATACATTTGGTTGTCCCCACTTGTGTTCTCGTTCACTACAAACTAACTAACTATCTCTTCCATTTCACGATACAATCATGCCTAATCGATTCAATCTTTAACATAAAATTCAATTTATAATTATGTCGTTTCTTTTATTTCTAAGAGTATTAATCAATAAAGATTTGTTTTCTTTTATTCTCCAGTCTGTTGTTATGTTTGAGGAGAAAACAGACAGATAGACGAAGATACATAGTTAAATAATAACAGATCATTGAGAGAAGATAGATTGTTAGATTGATACATGATAGATAAACACACAGAAAATGCAATATGGAGAAAATCCTATTAACATATATACTGAGAAAATTATTGAGACGAATTTGTTTTTAAAGAGTAGAGGATAAATTAATTTAGGATTCATATATTTGGATTGCAGGTGTACTGTACTTAAGAGTTTCCAGTTATGACGCAACAGATGTAAACAGCGCTCACTGTCAATACCGTGGTGGAATGGCCAAGGGTTAAGACATTCAAATTTCCAGTCCCTCCTAATTCAGTTTAAACATCCGGAAAGTATCACTTACCCTCACATATAAGTTGCTATTTCTCACTAGCTAATGAGTACATGAAAAATTATTTCGAGAATCTGAATTTATCCGCATCTATCTGACATGAACATTCCACTGTGACACAGCACAGCACCCACCATGGAAAACAGGAAAATCCAGTGAGATTTACAACTTCAGAACCAATCTCCCACTTCTACCTACTCCGGTTCAATCATTCGTGAATAGTAACATTAGTATCCACTGTAAAAATGAAGTGTAGCTCATAGCTAAAGAAATAGGTTTATACTTCATGAAAGTAAATGAAAATTCCCATTTTGACATTTGGTAAATAAAGAAGTAACCAATTGTAAAGAAATTTCTTCGCTCAATTCGTTCCTTCTTTATTTACTAAAGTAAATGAGTTACATTACGTAACATAACTACTGACTAATCAGTTAATTTTCAATAATTTTCTTCAAGTAAATAACTCTCCAGAATTTCATAGACATTCACTAATAATTTTTTATTTCACTGATTAATCAGTAGACGTGATTATGTTTTCGTTTTAGCAATTTATGATTTGTGTGTGCTTGTTCGTTTTTTTTCTATCTCGCTCTCTCTCCTACTATTTGTTTATTAATTAATATGAATGAATTAATTCATGTGGAATAGAATTGAAATGATTAACTGATTACTAGATTATTATTATAAGTCAATAAATATTTTTACAAACTGGTTCAGTAGTTTACTTTGTTCTATTGTGATGGACTATTTTAACTATTAGAAAGTTGTATTGTGTGATCTATATTGTATTCAAGTGAAATAGTGATACTATTACCACTTTATAACTGAACAAGAACTGGTGTGACTCGGTGTAAGGGAGAAGACAAGGCTGTAGGTGAAGATGCATTAATCACTGATTTTATCAGTGACTTACAAACTAGTTAAAAATGATATAAAAATATACAGTGAGATGTATATGTACTCCATTTTCTGAATATCTGATCAACAGTCAAACTTTGAATATGTCTAATTGGGAGTGGCTGATACTGGTTTTGTCACAACCTCTGAGCAATACACAATCAAAACCTTGAGAATGCATGAAACAAGTCGCGATAATCATATTACACTAAAACCACCGCCTCTTTTGGATCCAATAGACCATATTTTTAATACCTACCAGTTCATAAATTAACACTAGATTTTCAGTGATTCCATAATTTCTATTGGTCTGTGGCGAAAACTAAACTTAACCTTAAACTCTATACTACCTTGTGCACATATCATAAGCACGTCTTCAAATTTGTCCGGACGTGCTTCTCTCGGAAAAAGTATATTAGTTCGTATAGTAGTGTTTATGTGCGTGTCTGTCACTTTATATGTGCGTGTGGTGTGTTTATACTTTTTATTTGTTTACATTTCGAGAGTATATTACTTTAATTTGTAAGTGCTTTTGCTTTTCTACGGTTGTTGATGTTAATGACTTCAACTGATTAGTCTATACTATCATATATACATCCTGAGCGGACTGCCTCGATATTCTCATTTAGTCACAGGCACTTTAAATTGAATTTGAATTATGACTTGCAGTGGAATTGAAGATAAGTGTATTTTTCTGTTTTGAACTAGTTAGCTGGATTCACTTGGATTTTAGTGTTAATGTTCACAATAAGACTCTGACCTAATCAATAAATTTCACTCGAAATGTCTAATGAGTTATCCACCGAGCTACTGATTCTAAATATCCACAAATTCGTGCAACAGTCACGGATTTTATTAGTAAGACTTTAAATTTTCTCGTTATAGGTGTTCAAAACACTAATCACTTTTGGACAAGTTAGTAGCTACTAGAAATCAGTTACTTACTGGATAATGTGTTAGACATTTGAAGCAAAACGTGTGGGGCTAGAGTATCAGTCAGTGTAAACGTCAACACTAAGATGGATACAGATGCATTCAGCTGACGATTACCAAGTGGGATGATACCACTGTCAGACTCTATTCAACGTTATGTTCTATTTTTATTATCTCACATACATGTTTTCACTTGAATCTGTTCTATTGCATATTATTTGTGATTATTAGAATCTATGTTGTCATAAATTCCCCTCTCTATTATTATTCATGTTAGAAATTTCTTTAAACGTATGAATAAATAATAGTGAAAGGTTTGGAAAGGGAAGAACAGTTCAAAAAGGACCAAATGATCATATATAACTTTTTGCTCCGAAGCTGAAAGAAGACAACTTTATTGATTTCATCAAGTTAACACTACTAATTACTATGTCACATTAATATTCTGTTCTGAATATACACTTTTCCTGTCCAAATATTAGACTGTGCACATAATAAAAATAGAATTTTATTTTTTATTTTGCTGGTTATATCTTATTCCTTTCGATCGATTTTCTCCCCCACCCCACCCCACCCCACCCCACCCCAACACCGAAAGCAAAGAGGGAAGTAATTTATTCTACAAGTTATGTTTGATAATCAAATTTTAATTTTCTAAAAAAGAACCCAATCGGTAGATAAATAGTAGTTGCTGCCAATTCCTTTTTTATTTTCATGATAAGTGTTTTTAATCAAAGATGAGTTATATTAATGCATAATGTATATGTTTATCTATAGAGGTGGAAAAAAATTTATATAAATGGGTATTTTTTATGTTTGTTCGCACGTGCTCATCCGCTGGCCCATCTGTATTTGTTTATTTATCTGTTTGTGCTTATAGAGAAGTAAACGTGATTGTAAAATGCATCTTTTGTCTTTAAATTAGCACTTATGTAAATATGAATTGTCTTAATGTTGTCTTTTCGGAAATCAAAATTCTCTGAACTAACTCGTTAGAATCTAAAAAAATTAATAAATCTATAAATGACATTACAACAAGTTTGTACTTACTTACTTACTTACGCCTGTTATTCCTCGTGAAGGAGCATAGGCCGCTCACCAGCATTCTCCATCCCACCTAGCTTGTGCTTGGACTTTCTCTGCTCGTGTTCGGCTGTTGTTAACTGCTGCCTTCTTGTTCTTCCTTTCTTTGATCTTGTCCAGTGTTTCTATAGAGATCCATTCCTTATGATGGTGTCTCTTTAGGCCCAGAATCTCCTGACACGTTGAAGTTAATGTTTCCTTGATTCTTTTCCAGTTGTCCTCCATAATAGTTTCTTCTTCCTTCAGTAGATCTTGTAAGGCTTGGAACCTGTTGTTGAGAGCTATCTTGAATTCACTGAGTTTCTCAGTACCTCGAAGGAAGGTTATATTGAACCTTTGTAGTACTGTTTGTCCAGTTGTCCAGTTCTTTTTTAACTTCAGTTTTAAATTGACCACAACGAGATGGTGATCTGAAGCTATGTCAGCTCCTCTCCTGGTTCTCACATCTTCCATTGTCCTTCGGAATTTTTTGTTGATGCAAATATGATCTATTTGGTTCTCTGTGGTGTGGTGCGGTGAGATCCATGTAGCCTTGTGTATACGTTTGTGTGGAAACATTGTGCCGCCTATGACCAATTTGTTGAATACACACACATTTGCAAATCTTTCTCCATTTTCGTTTCCCTCTCCCAGTCCATGTCGCCCCATGATATCTTCATATCCAGTGTTGTCTATTCCGACTTTGGCATTTAGATCTCCCATCAGAATGGTTAGGTTCTTTCTTGGGCATTTCTTTATGATTGACTGCAGCCGCTCGTCGTTGCTATCATTGGTGGGTGCATAACTCTGGATAATATTCATTAAGATTCCCCCTTTTTTGTTTTGAATGGTGCTTTGATGATTCTGTATCGGTGAGATTCCCATCCTACAAGTGCATTTCGTGCTACTTTGGACAGCATTAGAGCGATTCCCTGAGTGTGTGGAGCATTTTCCTCTTCGTGACCGGAGTACAGCAGCATCTCTCCCTTATTTAGCCTTTGTTGTCCAGCTTGGGTTCAATGGGTTTCGCTGATTCCCAGTACTGCTAAGTTGTATCTCCCCATTTCCGTTGCTATTTGACTGGTCTTCCCGGTTTCCCACATTGTTCGAACGTTCCATGTACCTATAAAAATTGTTGTTCTGTTTGTTAGGAGGGGCATCGGCCTCGTGGCTTCCGAAAGAGCTCGGCTTTCATCATGAGGCGTCATAATTCTTCTAAATGAAGACCTTCTAACTCACAGGGCAGAGTTAAAATGGTTTGAGTTATTTTTTCTGGTAATCGTTTTATTAGCGAGTTAGTTTTCTACGGGATGGGGACGCTAACCCCATGCCCAACCCTCCTCCTTTACCCGGGCTTGGAACCGGCAGCAACTCTAGAAGAGCTACAGGCGGAGTTACAACAAGTTTGTAGTTTACGGTATTTAAACAAATTATGTTTGATAGTATTGATACGGTAAATAATTGATATAATAATTAATGAGGTAAGAAAAATTCGGGAAGAGATAATAATAATAATGATAATAAAGTTGGTGTACATATCTGTTTATTCAGTACTGATTCACATACATTCTACTCCATACCTAATGATATGACTGCAACTGTTTAAACTACTAGAAAATGTGTCACAGAGTAGGATTACGTAACCATATAAGTTTCATAGTTCACATCAAGAACTGATCTTAGGTAGCCAGTGAATGCCAGGAAGCACTGAAAAAACTGATTCTTTTTAGTGTGGGACTTCTCAGCTGTGCCTATTAACAACTTTGCATCCGGAGGCCGTGCTGAGGGCTCCCAGTTTCGCATGCGAACGTTTAACTTCTAGACCATTGAGTTTGTATCTGACGGTGCTATTGACTAACTTTAATCATCTAACGATATTGTACAACACCCACCCATTGCCTGTGGTGAATAACTGTTCAACATGGTTGAAGTCCATTGATCAAGGCTTCTTCATGGAACTCTTGGAATAACATCTCGAAGTTATCTAGTAGTGAAAAAAAGATTATTATCAGTGTAGGGTGGTTCCTTTCCATATGGTTAAGTTGTTTAACCAGTAAGCTACAGAACAATATTTTGCTAAGATAAATATAACTTATTTTGTTTACATTGGGATAATCACTGTTGTTGGCTTTGTTTACACTTTGTAAAAGATGTCTTGAAGTGACACTATAGCATATCAGTTATTAACTTATCTATTTATTTTTGCTTTTATTGAAAATTATAGGTCGAATCACTAGTAAAGATGGTCGTCCACTTTGTTTAAAGCTGAAAGATTGGCCAACTACAGATGATTTTGCTGAATTACAACCGAAACGTTTCAATGATCTAATGTTAAATCTACCAATGCCAAATTATACACAACGTGATGGACAATTGAATTTAGCTGCTAGATTATCATCATTTTTCGTATGTCCCGATCTAGGTCCAAAATTATATGTGGCTTATGGAACAGTCGGTTCTTGTTCTGTAAGTATACAATCTTTATGCTTTAACGTAAATATTTCATTAACTTTTACAGACAAGGAACGATATTCACATTATTCAGCGTCAATTGCTATTCTTATTTCATTTAAATATAAATACTTAAGACAAAAGTGTACCCGTGAATGCCGACGCAACAGTCCCAATGAATGAGCGTTCACCACGAATTGAGTGGGTTATTAGTTCGACTCCTTGTGGGTTTTTTGTAGCGCATTGCTTGAAGTGTCCCATACTAGGACAAGATGTTTGTTCAGTGCTCCATAATTTTCTATCTCACTCTCACTAGTGTCGCCCTGTGGTGAAAGCTCCCCCAAAAAATATTTTTGTTTGTTTTGTTATGACAACTATGAATTCGGATCAGTCATATATGGATTTTGTGGGTTGTCTTTTTGTATGTACGTGCACTTGTGTGTATATAAAAGGCAAACTTCTATTATGTGTTGACTTTAAAATAGAAGGAATCAATTATTAATAATCTCTCTAGTTTCTTTTGACCTCATTGAGTAAATTAAAACAGATGTCTATCAATCATTTTTTCCATATCATTCAACCAACAAAATCAAGTACATACTTTCAGTGTTCCTCCACGTTAGGAGATCGAAATTATACGAATGCCAAATGTCCAAATCTTTGTTTAAATTAATTTCTTATCATTACTTATGCTTTGTTGTCGCTATTATTTTTACGACAAGATGTGAATTTCAGTCGAACTTATAGCATAATTGGTCAATTTATTAAACGTTATATGATCTAGTTTTTGTTTTGTATGCTACAAAATAGTATCTGTCTATCACAATGTGGACTTGAATCTAATTTTCATTGTACATGTATATTTAATCTCTTTGTTTATGTCTGCTCCATTAAACATTACCCTGTATGTACGTATGTATGTTGGCATACGTATGTGTATTGATGTGTGAATTATATGTATGTGTGATTAATTCCAAATTGGCCGGTTTTATTATGGATAGATCGATAGATGATGATGATGATGATGATATTTAAAATACCTGTTGGCTTTGTTCATATCTTTTTCTGTTGCTGCTGTTGTATTGATCATCATATCTAAATGTTGATTTGAAACAGTATCGTTGAAATGATGTTTTGCCATGTATTTTTTTTGGAATGACGAATACTATTATTTACTTGTATTGATGGAACGTTAGTTAATCTGTAGAAAACAAGGCACAAAATAGAATTTAGACAAAAAGTATTTTGCCTTGATGTTTATTTACAGATTGTATATCATGAAAAAATATTTCTTTTATTAAAACTGAATAATGGATAACAGTAAATTATAAGACGTATGTCTCGTCCCATTTAGAAATTGTCATTTTGATGTACCTGGAGTTGAATCAAGAAACTTTCACTTTAAATCATAATATATTATGTACTGAACTATTGAGTTCAAATGTAAGCCCATCCACATAATTATCAGTATTAGTTGCCAGTTCGGTTTCCTACTAAAATTAGACAAGGATAAACCATTGTATTGGGTGTGTTCTTTGCATAATTTAACTAATTCATTCATAAATTTCTTGTACCAGTGATATCTGTTCTATCATTGCAATACAGACATTACTCGTGTTATTTTGCCTATAGCTTGGCTGCACTTTTTAATCGTATCACATATTTATTCTCTTCCTAGACAGTGTCATCAGTAGCAGCCCGAAAATTTTCCCCAACTTGACCTTAACTTACAATGGTATATAAATAACAACTTGTATTCAGGTTTTTTCGCCCAACTCTTGTCACCTTCACCTTCCAGCATATGCTTACTTACTAGCCTAATTATGCCAGTTACTCAAGATAGAGCATTAGTCCCCGATCAGGAATCTCCCACGTACTCTGTCATAGGCTCTCCTTTTATGTTGTTCCTAAATGCTATTTATTCTTTTGATTTTCGTCTTAAATTCCCAGAGCAATATGTTCTTCGGTTCCCCTCTTTTCCTTTTTCCTTGGAGATCCCAATTTAGGGCTCGTTTTGTTATTCAGTTTGATGGTTTCCTCAATATGTGCTTTATACACTTTCAGCGTCCTTTCCCAATTTCCTCCCGTATAGAGAAGTGTTTATAAATACTTGTACCGTTTTTTCGATAATGGCTGTAGTAGTTCTCCATATTTCAGCTCTATATAACGAAATTGTCTTGCCCTTTGTATCATAAAATTCTGACTTGGACGTTGGCAACAGACATTTGTTTTGAGTTCTAGACCAATATCACATTTCGACTGATTTTACCTATTTTTCTTCTTGTTTCTTTTATTTTTGTTTGCAGATTAGTACAACAAATTTGCACGTAGATATAGCTGATGCCGTAAATGTTATGTTGTATGTGGGACAACCGACAGATTCATTGAATGAAATGTTAACTAATGCTGAATCAATTGTGAACACATTAACAAGTGCACATATTGATGATAATTATTTAGAAAGAGTTTTAAATTGGTTGAATAAAATTAAATCACACCAAACTGATGCACATGCTAATGACAATAATAATAATACTAACAGTAACAATATTACTACTACTACTACTACTACTACTACTACTACTACTCCCACTACTTTTATTTCTACTACTCATGAAACTAACTCTGAAGGTAGGTTATGCCATTATTCATTTGTGAACATTTCATATTCATCAAATTACTTTTATTATAAAAAATTGATGAATGTAGTCTACTAGATACCTAAGCACTTTTTTAAAAGTTAATAGTAGTCGTTTTGATGTGAATGTTCGGTATTATGAAAATCTGTATTTAATGTTGGGTGGATAAAAGCAGAGAATCCTTGGATCTAGACTTTTTGGTAGTTGACATTAGCTACCAGGAGTGTATCTGAAATCTTCAGGGAACTTATACTCTTCGTTAGATTTGAATCCGTTTAACCTCAATATCATAGTCATAGTTGTTACCACTTTCGTGGGTTTTCGGTAATCCACTGAATTTCCGTAGGGCTGATACATAAACTAATACTGATTGATAGAATTGGTCAGCAATCAAAGATTACGGTAAACATTACAGTGATCACTGATCAGTCAGTGTACATTTTTGTTTGGACTTCATTTTACCGTTATCAGTTAGCCAGTTAAAACAATTAGTTACTCTGATTAATTTGTGTAGCGTAATAAGAAGACAAAGATCATCAGAACTATGTGATATATTAGCGTAATACAAGTTGAAAAATCTTATCACATATATACTTGTTAAGACTTGCCCTGGTAATATTGATTCATTATCTAGTATGATGTGTTTCGAAATATATTGTGTTAATATATCACATAATTCCAATGATCTTCGTCTTCTTATTGCACTACCAAATCAGTCAGTTTTGTTTGCTTATTTTCTTTCTGGACATTCATTGAAAATCAAGGTACACTAGAAATATGTTTGATCATTCTGTATGAAATTCTTCGCTAATGTATCATCATGATTCAAACAAAGATGAAACGTGAAGTCTTAAGTTATGATGGCGAGCTCATTATCTTTGGATCGTTATCCAAAGAATTTACAAATTCCTGACTTCAATTATATCCGATACTCAGGAGACCAATGTGCATCCCCATTATTTTGTAACCAATATGGCTGGAGTCTACCGACCACTACCTCTGACTAGAGCTTCAGGAATATTTCTAGAGGTTCAACATTAGGTTCCACATTATTATTATTATTATTATTATTATTATTATTATTATTACTCCATGGTTTGATTGTATAAAAAATGTATTCCTAATTCATTTGTTATAGATATCCCAGGAGCATTATGGCATATATTTCTACCGGAAGATTCAAATGGTTTAAGAGAATTTTTATCAAGAGTAAGTGAAAATGAAACTGGCACACCAGTGGAATCAGGCAGTGATCCAATACATGATCAATTATTTTACATGGATCAATCATTATTAGATCGTTTATATGATTGTATGGGCATTCAACCATGTACGATTGTACAATTTCATGGTGATGCTGTATTCATTCCAGCTGGTGCTGCTCATCAGGTAATATTTTAACTTCTTCCTTTTTGTTGTCATAAGCAAAGGTTAGATCGTACTATTTTTTTAAAAGGTGTACTTTGTATATTTCACTTCTACAGTTCCCCGCGATGTTATGGTTTATAACTATTCACCCTTGTTAAAACATGATCACTATTTAAACAGTAATAGACGGTCGCTACCAGTGGAATCCAGGATGAGGGTTTCGCTCTACTTTGGACTCGTCAGCCAGATGTGCTTGATCTCAGAGTGAGTTGGTGTTTATTTCGGGGCTTGAAACCATCACCATTTGCTTCAACGCCATTGCGGTATCCACTTAGCTACTAAGTTCAGATAGCCACTAGCTTGTGGAATGGGGTTAATTTTAATTAGTATATGCATTTGTTTTCCGGATCTTCCCATTGATGTTTAGGGCTGCAATTGATCAGTATCTTTTCGCATATGTGCATCTTATGAGGATTGCCTCGATATTGTTGTTAAGTTACAAACATTTTAAGCAGCAGCGTATGTATGGTATTTATATATTCAGATTCACCTTTATATACTACTTTAATATGTATTTATCCAAACGCTTAGTTTGTGAGATTTTTATTTTCTTTAAAAATTCTAAACACTTCCATGTGACTTATTAACTTTCATTATATCTTATTCTGTTTCGGAGTTATTGTCAATTAATTAGTGGGCCTGATTTATTAGGATTTTTACCGTGGACGTCTTAGTTACATGGCTTGTTGTTTATGTATAGTGCATTATGATTCTGTGATTTGGATTAGGAAAGTACATTGAATGTCATTTTTCCATGTTCTGATTTGCAGCTTAATTGCAGAGGTACTCTATATGGACTGATAACCGTTAAGGTATCAGTTCGCTGAGTTGTAGGGATCAGTATTACTGTTTCAAGCATATTTCACCAGATTAGGATCATGTCAATGACACATTAGTAAAAACTGTCTAGTTTTTAGATTACTATTAAATGTCTAGTTAATCAATGTGATTATTTTCCTGAAGGTATATACAGCATTCACTTACTGTCAAGTTGCATAAAACATGAAATGATGTCTTATTAACGATACTATTCAACTTTCAACCGGAATTAGTAGTGGTAGGTTGAGAATTTGAACGTGGATTCTTCATATTCTTTGATTTGTGCAATTGGATAGCATCACTAGTCCTTATAAAAATGGTGTATTTTTAAAGGTCATGTGGGTTGGTTTGTATTTAGTGAGTGATTTTTGACTTGTTTAAATTTAGTGAATGATGGTGATGTTAGACAGCTGATGGTAGTTGTCTAAGGAACCTTGGACACCCCCTAGGTTTCGTGCTAGTTGGCACTCATCAGTAGAGAGTTTTCTACCAGCTACATCAAACCACTCATGGTAGAAAAATAGTGCATGTGATATCAAGTCATTGAGGCTAGTGGTCACATTGAAGTTTGATTGACGACATTCGATTAGCAACACTAGGGGACTAGAAAAGCCTGATGTTGGTCCACTACTTTATAAACGCTTCAGAATTGCGGACCCATGACTTTCGGACACCATGGTGATTGTTTCACGCTTATACCAGTGAGTTGGCATCCAGGTAGCTCACACTTCTAACTTCAATCAACTTCCAGGCAATAGTATCACAATGTGTTTATTGATAACTTAGTTCTAAATTAACTCTCAAAGTTATGGGCAGCTGAGGAAATTCTACGAAATGGATGAGTTCATGGTATTTTGCTACTATCTTGGATTTTTTAGTTACTCAAACTTATAAATCAGAAAATTATGTGGAATCTGTTATATCTGGAAATTGCAATAGGAGTAAAACAGTCGTCATCAGTAACTTATTAAGATGATCGTAGTGTTGTATCTTGAGTTGACTGAAACTGGGAATGTGAAACATTTGATTTCCAACTCATAAGTATTGAGGTGTTCTTCAGTACTCAGTCATTATGAATCTTGAAGGTCATGGGCTCCATCCCCGATCGGATCTTGAATGCGCATTGTTAAATAGTTAATTACTAGGACGAGACAGCTGTCTAGTGCTTCCTGGATCTCAATGGCTACCTAAAAATTGTTATTTTGAGATGCAAACCCACAACAAGCAAAAAGGTTGTTATTTTATTGAAAAACTATCCTCACATGTTTGTTTATTCAATCGGTTTTTGATTGAATAACTTACTCTTCATTAATTTATGTATATTTATATATAATAGGTACGAAATTTAAATAGTTGTATCAAAGCGGCTGTAGATTTGTCTCACCGGAACATTTACCTCAATGTTTTCAATTAATGGAAGAATTTCGTCAGCTATCACCGACACATCAAAATCACGAAGATAAATTGCAAATTAAAAATATGTTATTCCATGGAATAAAAGATGCTTTATCTGTCCTATTGACAAGTAATAATAATAATAATAATAATAATAATAACAGTGATAATAATAACACTAACAATAATCAAAGTTTGGTCAACCTTAAATCAGAATTGAATTCAGAGTTGAGATCTCAGACACATGATAGACCATTTTCATCAACATCGTTTACATCAGCGATTATACTTCATAATGATAATCGAACTATGTCAAATAATTCAGTCGTAAAATCAGATTCAAGATCAGAGTCTTCACTTCATTATAATTTACAAAATTATCATGTCACAAATTCTGTAAAGTCAATGAATACAAACAGAGGTGGTCGAACTAGAGGTAGACCTGGGCGACCAAAAGCAATTGGTTTAACTACTCATGAAAATATTAACCTATCATCTAGTTCCCCACCGCCATCGTCGTCGATCCCATCGTCAAATCCGATGTTGAATTCGAATACATTTCCGGTTGTACCTGTCCTTAGTGTAAATACTGTTGTTCCCGGTAGTGGTGATTATATCAGCGATAATGATTCAACGAATAATTCTGGTAAATTTCCAAATTCGTTTAAAATTTCTTCTAGAGATTCACTTTCTGCGATATCTTCATCATCATTAATGTTCTCTTCAGATATAATTAAAGATGTTAATTTGAATCCTATTATTACTACTGTTGCTACTAGTAGTACTAGTATTAGCAGTACTACTACTACTATTGTGATTGTGATAGAATTCCTACGACTATGATTACTAATGTTACTTCCTCTTCATCATTGCTGTCTACTTCGGCTTCTGGTCTGTCTGTGAATTTAGATGCCCCACAACTTATTTCCTCTGCCTCTTTTCCTTGTTCATCTTTTTCATTGTCATCAACATCATCCTCGATATCGTTTTCGTCCTCTTCTTCCTCCTCCACCTCTTCATTCGTATCTTCTACCTCGTCATCATTATCTTCAGCATGTACTGCACAAAAGCAACATGTTTCTACTAACCGTCTACTTAATTCAACCAATAATGACTATTTGTCATAATTATCTTATACATACGTTGTCCTGTACTGTATTGTCTGTCCTCCACACAATCACATATACATACACATAAACGTATGCAAATCATGATATACTGCAAATGTTTCAGTCAGTGTATACTTGTTGATTATTTTTTGATGAAAAACACTACCTGTACAAGTGAAAAAAGCAATTTTTCTGTATCTCAATTATCATAGATATAACTGAGTCTATCGACTTTTCTTTTTGTTCAATTAGGCGCCAATTTATGAATTGTAATTTCTTGTATAGTTCTCACTTTTAATATTTATTTTTCTTGTTTTAATAATGCTAATAATAATAATAAATAGAATATTATTAAAACTGATAAATATGTTATACTATCCGTCCTACTTTCTCCTCTTCTTCGTCTTCTCGTTTTTCTGTTACCACATATTCCTCTTATTCTTATGCGTTTTCCTCCCACTTCTTTTCTGAAAAAATCCATTTTCCAAGTTCTTTCCTGTTCCTTATAATTCCTTTATTCTCTCTCTCTCTCTCCAGCTCTTGTTCTGATTGAAACACCGAAAATGAGCTACTAATAGTATTACTACTACTATTACCACTCTCAACATTACTATTACTATCGGTACTTGATGGTAGCAGTAATAGTAGTGGTCGCGATTACCATTACCACTACTACGTCTAGCAGTAGTACCAATTACTATATTTTCAACCAGCAAACATATATTTTGGTCTTTGTAGTAAGTTCGGCACATTTTTGTACACCCCGGTCACTTTTATTTGTATCTGTATAATTGTGTAAGAAAGGTGTTTCTTTTACCGTTCTATTCCTATATTACAGACACACAAACAAATACGTATGTATACATATATACATGTGACATAGAAAAATCCATAAGTAGATGAGCATGTCTAATTTATTGTTTGTTTGTTTATGGATATTCTTTCTTGTTTTTGTTTTTCCACACTCTCTCTTGATTTACGGGCCTTTTCGTCACAGATTCCTGGAGTATGATACTACTACTAATAATAATACTATTTATGATTACTATCGTTAGTATTGTTATTATTATTGTTTATTGTTATAATGATTATTACACAATCAAGATAGGATTGATTTATTCTGTAGGTAATTCTCTATGTCTACCACACGTATGTCATATTTCACATAAATGTATTTCATTCATACACATAAAACTGTTTGTTGTGTTTTAATTGCCTTTAATTACTGCGTGTGTTTGTATAGATTCAAACTTATCCAGTGGTTTTATGAAGTTGCTTTACACCAGAAAGCGTTTTTAAGGTATCGAGTATCAAAATACATTGTTGACTTATTTTGTGTACATATACGTTATATATATATATAAATGTTTCTACTCGTTCAGGTCAGCAAAACTGTTGAAAAAATGAACAACAATTTAGTTTTTCCTAGAACTGGACTAGACTTTTGTCTTCCGGAAACGACTACTTTTAATCATTTGTTCTAATTTTGCCTTCTCATTAATGGAATTGTCTACACATATATCTGTGCTTACTCTCCAGATGTATAGAGTTACACACATTGTCACATGTGTATATATTCAAGCGTAGTCATGTAAGTATGGTGTTTGAATGATGTCAGTCGACCAAACAAGACTGAAACAGTTACTCATTGATGATAATATGTTATTATTGCAAACATAAAATATAGACCAGTGAATGACTACATTGGTTCATTTTCTGGGGATTATTTTGTTGCGCCTAAACTCAAATAGATGAATCCACACTCGAATTTGTGACTCAATGGTAGAAAGGCAAGTAGTTCAACTACCGAGCTAGTTATCAGTATGGGGTTATGGAGATTGTTAAGTTTTTGGTTGAAATCATGAATCGATGGATGTTAGAGAACCATTAAAAATCTAGAGGCACTAGATGGCTGTTTTGTCCTAGTATGGGACTCAGCGGTGCGCATCCACGTTCGCGCTCGCAGAATCCGAACCCAGGGCCTTCGGTCTCGCGCGCTGACACTTAACCACTAAACCACTGAGCCGGCATCCGACAGTGTTAATGTCTAGCTTCAACCAATCCACAAAACTGCGAAATCCCACGAGCATGATCGTGGATTCGCACTGCTGAGGAGTCTCAAGCTGGGACGAAGCGGCCGTCCAGTGCTCTCAGGTTCTCAATGGCGGTCTAACATCAATCGATTAGTGATCTCAACCAAATACTAAGCTAGTATTGTGTTTTTTGGATAACTTTTCCGGAGTATTGTTCATTAAAGTTATGGTTTATTTTTGTACTACTAGTAGCTTGAAATAAGAACACACTCACAACGTATATTAGAAGAATATGTGTTAATGCAGACTGTAGATTTATAAAACGATTTACTTTGCCTAATTCACCATTTATTTACTTTGTTCCATCATATGTAAATTATTGTAGGGAAAGAATAAGTGTCTAGTTGAACTGTATGTTACTAAGATGTTTAAAAGTAAAGGACTAATAGTGTTGAACTTGTGATATAACCAAGTCTTTTTAAATTTATAATTACCTGTCAAGATATTAGATATCTGAAATTACTTTGTGTGTATATGTGTATGTGTGAATTCTTATAAGAATACTTAGCTGGCCGAACCTAATTATGGGGAATGAGGTATCACTTTTGGCCTACTACTTGAATTTTAAGTACTTCAAATACTAAGCTAATAGTCTAAAACTGATATAGTGGACAAAAATTGACTTGTCGTAAAGGAGGTTGATTACCAAACACTTTTTTTATTTCATGTGTTATTGATGTGCTTTTTATTTGTTTAAAATTTACTACTTAATTAACTTTATCCATTATTATTAAAGATTTTCAACATGAAATCATGTTTATTATTATCATACAACTGTACAGAAGATGATAATGAGATAGTCTTATGTTTTTTCTTTGTAAAAAATATAGTAGTTATATGAATAAAACACTCAACTGTTAGCGACTAGCATGGAAATTTGAACTTCACTCTGATTATTTTTATTTCGACAATCAATTAACATCATTAGCCATCACACAAACAGTGTGATTCAAAGTTCAATAAATGACTTTGTACTTTGTTATTGTGTTTTATAGAATTATGTTCTAAATTAGAAAGACTTTCAAATAGTTTAAATCATTTTATTAATGCAAACTCAGTTTTATTGTAATAAAACTGTAAGAAAAATTTAATGAAACAATCACTAGTTATTGTTGGTTTTCAATGTGATTTATATTATATCTTATTCATTTAGTTCAACTTCACTTATAGTAACTGTGATGATCATTATAGTAATTGGAATGCTTAAGTTATAAAATCGTACTTTCTAAAGTTAATGTAGCTTAACAATGTATTAAGCTGGTGGCTGGATTAACTGGCAACTGTTCAAATAAATTGTATTATTCATGATATTTTTACATGAAATTATAGTTGTCAGTTTAAGGTTGTGGAGATTATTTAATTTCGTTTAAATCATAAACTAATAAAAGTCAGACAACCAATGAAAACCTGGAGGTACTAAACAGCTGTCTATTCCTAGTGTTGGACTTATCAGCAGTGCTCATTTATAACCCCGGACACGGGAATCGAACTCAGATTCCTCAGTCTCGCGTACGAACGCTTAGCGTCTAGATCACTAAGCCGGGATCTAACAATGTATGCGTTTTATTTCAATCCGTTCACGACAGTGTGCGACCATCCAAATTTGATCGGTTTGTGGTTTCATTACATTTATAGTATTTGTACAACATAGATACCATAGAAAAAAGTATCTTGGAAGTATCATCGAAGTATATGACACACTTGTTGATAACGTTGAGTCTCTTAAATGGACACCTGATCCGATTTTCTAGCTGCTTGCCAATAACCCTAAGCTAAATCCGCACGGCAACTTGAACAAAAGATAGGAGGTATGAAGTACAAAAAGAACGCTTTACTCCATCGTTAGTTGATGTACGAAAAAAAGGGCTTCTGGAGACTTCTGGAACCATACTAAATCTATTGACAGCATGGGTAAATATCCAGTCAGAACTGTGACGCGTGATTCTGCATTTTCTAAATGCTTCTGATAAGACTTTCCAAGGATGGTTTGATAAAGCGTCTAGCATTTCTGGGCCCCTAATGACTTGATCAGAGTTATTCTTGGGACTCTTCCAACAGTCAATTAAATTACTATAATATCCACAAAAAACCCCTTCTTGATAATAATTCGATAATTGAAAGAGCAGGTTCAGAAAAAAGTGAAGTGTAAACTTCTTATTTATTTGTAGATCATTTAGAGGAGTGCGCATACGAACACGAGAGAGGAACATGTATAAAAGAAAGGAAAAAATCACATGTAGCCATTTAAGTATCTAAACTTAATTCATTTACTCAGGATATTCAGTGCACTTTGAGAAAAGTTGGAGGTAGGTCGAACGGTCACAGTTTTGGTAACTTGCAATGTTTATGTAATTAACATAGGTTAATGGCATTCTCAAATAACTTTCTGTTTTACGTCAAATAATTAGGAAGCCTATTGAAAATAGACCTTTCCCTTCCATATATATTTATCCTTATTTCGTTAGTGGGAAATTTTCCACTTCTCAATGAATTGATTGCTGGTTATCTGATTTATGTTATATAGGTGCTAACATATAGTTTCATCTACATATACAAGATGAAAGCAACAAATTAAAATACTGCTGATGTAATAATAATAATAATAAGAAGAATCTGAAGAGTCGTTTAACCGCAACTGATAGACAGGAAAGGGTAGAACTACAGCAAACGTACAGTCCTTACGATATCGTGGAGTTGAAATACATAGCAAGAAAGTTACAATTTGTAGTTGGATTAATTACTAAATTTAGTTGTGGTCAATAATGAATAAAGTGTTAAAATACT